GTTCAAGACCTACAGCACGTTATCAAATTCATTAACCAGTCAGCAGCATCGCTTTCGTATACAAACCTTATCTTCGACAGACCTCACAAGGGCAATTTTGTCCCGGCAGCGCATCCTGACGCTCCCAATATTGGCCCGTGTAAACTCCAGGTTGAGGCAAAAGAAAATGCATCGATCCTACGTCACGAGCGCAAAATGTTCCAGGCCCTCATAGCCGTTCAATCCTTTGATCGACCCATTTCCTTGGAGTCAACAGCCGCAGCGGTTTTGCAACGCGCTGCCGACGAGTTGCAACGCATCGATGACATCAAAGCCGGAGAGTGGGAACGCCAGCGTTGTCCCAGCGTCAGTATTCAGCCTGAGGACGCAGTGCGTGGCTCAAATGTTCCAGTTATGATCAACACCGGTAAACCTATTAGATGTTGTTTCAAATGCAATTTTCTAATGAACAAACAGATATATACTTTCGTCAGTATGAAAGCCACCCTGCAACATTGGCCTGCTACTTCCTAATCTTGACGCTTTCCCTGCTTTGTGGCTTATCGCGTGAGAAATGCAATTTCGCACTCGCGACACTACGCTTCATTATGCGGTGGCTCGTTGTTGAAACCAACATATCATCATCATCAGAAGAAGCTCGTTTGGCCGACCTTCCCCGGGATTCTCGCACACTGCTGAAACGCATCCACCTTGATCCAAAATGCAAATCTTATATAACATGCCCATCCTGCTTCAAGCTATACAACGATGACGATTTCGCGTGCCCTGAGTATTGCATTCATTCCCCACTCCCCGGTGCTCCGCAATGTTCTACAAAGCTGAAGCGCACCCGCATCATACGTGGAACGGCTTTTGAACGCCCTGTGAAGAGGTACTTGTATCAGGATATGAAGCAATGGCTCGCACGATTCTTATCTCGCTCAGACATCGAAAGCAAGCTAGAACGGGGGTCGGCGGCAATGAAGGTAGCTGATGGCGAACAGCATGACATCTGGGACGCAGAGGTCCTACAAAACTTTCAAGGCCCAGACGGCAGCCCTTTTGTATGCGGACCATCCAAAGAGTTACGCCTCGTGTTTTCTCTTGGCGTCGATGGATTCAATCCATCAGGTATGAAGATCGGGAAGGGTAGCGCTTCGTCCACAGGGATATACATGATATGCCTGAACCTACCCGTCGACCTCCGCTACCACCCTGAGAACATGTACTTGGTCGGCGTGCTACCTGGCCCAAACAAGCCCTCTCTCGACCAGATTAACGAAGGACTCGCGCCCCTCGTTGATGATCTCTTGTTAGCATGGGATCCAGGCTTCTTCTACACGCGCACCTCTTTGTACCCCTCTGGCCGCCCTTGTCGATCGGCAGTCATTCCCTTGGTCTGCGACATCATAGGTGCTCGGCAGGTTGGCGGCTTTGCTGGACCTACGAACACCATCTTTTGTTCATACTGCCTCCTTACGAAGGATCGTATTGAAGAGCTCCCGTCGAACAAATGGTCGATGAGATCTTGCAAAGAGCATAGGGCGGTTGCAGAGAAGTGGCGTGATGCGCAAACGGCGGAGGAACAAAAGGCGATAGTTGACCGTTACGGCGTACGGTACTCGGAACTACTTCGTCTACCGTATTGGAACCCGGTTCTTTTCACTGTTCTCGATTCCATGCACGCAGACTTCCTCCTCAAACTACATCACCACATCCGAGATGTTTGGGGCGCTGACCCCTCAATGGCGTCTGGTGAGGGACATCATGCACCGCTGCCTCGACCGCCACGGCCCTCTGATTCAGCGCTGGCATCAGGCCTTTGCGTCCTCATCAAAGGAAATATGGACAAAGCGCATGAACAGGCTTTATTGCGCTGCCAGAAACCAGTTCTCTATCACCTGTGCCACGAGTTTGGCCTGCGGCGAGCGCAAACTGCACTGCTGATGGCAAGAGAGCTCATTCAATTTGTACGTCACGCATTGTACTGCTATCATGATCAACAGGTTCAATTTCTACTCTTGTTTCACAAGCGTCAGCCGAGTGAAAATTTCGCCAAGATACAGAAACTTCTGAAAACTCTCTCTGAATCAAAGGTTTTTAGCTGTACTCGCTGAGCAGCACTCCGCCTACTCATTATGCACGCGTACAGGTACCTGAGGCGGCGCTTCAGGAGTTACCGAAGAAGAAAAGAACAAAGAATGACCCTCCATCCGAACAAGAGATGATCAAAGCGCGCTCAAAGTTAGAGAATGCTCAGAGTACTATAGCCATCGGGACAGGGATCAGGGTGCCAACCCTTTTACGACTTTGCGCAGAACTTGGTATATCTACTGACAATCACCTTCGCCCTGGATGTCCCCTACACAAGGGCGGACTATTGGACCGGCTAGCTGATTGGGTATGTTGCATGGGTTGTTTCTATTGACACTATCTTACCATCTCACTCTGTGAAGCGCCTTTTGCAAGGCCTGACAAATGAGGACGGCAACCTCTTGCATCCCGGGAGGAGACTGCAAAGTCACGAAGCGCCACCACCGAAGAATACTGTCGTACTTGGACGGGAGGTACTGGAAGAAATATGGATAGACCAAGCTCGGACGCAGCTTCCATCATTTGTTACTGCTGCCCCTTTGGTTGCGGCGGAGAAGAGGACCCCTACTGCTGATCACTGGCGCTCAATCGGTTTGATCCATCTAGTCATCACACTGATTCGCCTGTGGGGCCACAAGGAAGGCCGAATGCAGGAGATGCTGCACAACTACATGCACCTCGTCACCGCCATTCATATCACAAATATGAGGAGCATGTCAAAGGATAAGATTGATCTATATTCTTTCCATTATAAGGAGTACTTTTGCGGCATACTTAAGCTCTACAAAGAAGCAAGGATCCGCCCTGTGCATCATATGGCTTTCCACTATCCAATGCTACTCGAGGCTTTTGGTCCGGTCCACTCTTGGCGAGCATGGGCATTTGAGAGGTTCAACTACACCCTTCAGACGATCAAAACTAACTCAAAGTTTGGTGAGCAGTGCCTACTCGACCTTTCATTCACTGGCCTTAAGTCCCCAATTTTTCAGGTGAGATGGAAATGACATTTATCAACGATGCTTGCAGGGCGGCAAACCTCCCCGCCCTTCTATCTAGTAATAGACTCCCCGACGCTATGACATCGCTTTGGCCGGAGTTCCAGAAGACGTTTCGCTCAGACATTCGGGGGACCCGCCTCAACGATACTCTTTCATTTGGCAGCGCAGGTTGGCTGAAGGTCACTTACCCATCTTCCAAACCAAGGGGTAAACTCGCGGAGCTGCAAAGCCGCCTCGCCGGAGCCGTAACCAATTTGACCGGCGTACATCATTCAGGTATGCCTCGTTCACCTGCAGTGTGCACAATCTAAAATATACCAGACATCATGTTTGGTAGTAAACTATGGAAAGCGGGAGCGTTGTACCAACCGTACTCCAGGTCACCACGGGACTCCAACGTCATTATTCGAAACGCCGACTTTGATCAGGCACCTGCTCGCATTTTGGCTATCTTCAGTGAAAAATCGTGCCCTGAGACGCCGTCAATTCTCATTGAACGCCTGGTGGAACTGGACTCTGCCCAGGTAAAGGAGGACCCCTACCAACAATTTGGTTTCAGCGTTGCCGGAGGGCTGTTCTTCGATCGGTACCACCCCCTCGAAATCATTAAATCTGAAGCGCTTGTGACTTTGTTTGCACGTACCGTTTTTGAATATCGCACCCTGGGCAGTGTAGTCCACGTACTTCCCATTACCAAGGTTGGCCGCAAACGTTTATTGCTACATCATTTGGGTGCTGACTACCAGTAGGATATGTATGTTACAAATGATAGTGGTGCAGGTATGGAAAATGGCGAAGAGGATGCTCTCACTTAGATCTGACTGCTGAATCAATGCTTACTGGGAAGTCCATCCCAATGAAAGCGTTGATCGAGGTAATCAATTCAGGAGTTATTCTCTGTGCTATACTACACTGTTCCGAAACATAACTATGTTGCGATGACTCTCAAATTGCTGTTATTACTTCTCCTTCTTAACTCGATCCAACATACATAAATTCTGACCTTTGCGCATACCCAGTACGAGTTCGTGCACCTAGGTTTGTCTTTTCTCACTACTAGATCTCGTGGCATCCTACAATTTTTGTTTTCAATTAAGAGTACAATATCCTGTGGCACTCTGCCCATGTGAGCACATTTATCAGACAAACGCTACCACTATTCACAGGGCGTCTTTGTGCGATGAGTGTTTAGAAGCCTTCAAGAGTGCGTTGACGAGTCAGCTACGACTCGGATTCCAACACTGGCATGGCAGGATCTGGCGTAGACCTCTAGTTTTCTCAAGCTTCCCCACACGTACCGACGACGCTAATATGGAGGACTCGACATTCGGCGCTGAAGACGAGGAAGTGTTGCACAAACACTAACAAGAGGGTGGCCGAAGTTCTTCAACGCACCTTTGTTGTGTCAGCTGGGTTTAAATTTGATACGGCAGGTCCACCATGCTCGATGATCGATGATCCCTCTTCAAAGGCCTACCTCCGCGAACGAAAGTGGTCGATCAAATCGTGCATGTCGTGTCCCTACCATGCTCCTTCAAGTTGTTCCTTGAACCAATTCTGACGAATACTCTGTCGACTTCGTTCGAAGCGGAAATGACACCGGAACACGTCTGACACACAATACGATAGTCAGGCTCGACCACCTTCGATTGGGCGCCTAACCCACCTGCGACAAGGTCACATCGTTTGCCCTTGGGTTCGTTCGTTCGTCCTCGCGTTTGTTCGTTTGTTCGTTTGTTCGCTTTTTTTTTTTCGCGTTTGTCCTCGCGTTTGTTTGTTCGTCCTCACGTTCACTCGTTTGTCCGCATCTTTTTGTCGCGTTTGTCCCCGCGTTCGCTCGTTTACCCTTGCGTTCGTTCGTTCGCCCTCACGTTCACTCGTTTTTCCGCGTCTGGACTGCAGGTCGTCGATGAATTATATCTCTACTCAATGGAGGGCAAACAGCTTGCTCCAGATTTCGTTGGTGCTACAGAAGTCAATGGCCGCCGAGCACAGTCGCACTTTGTCGTGTTCCTGACTGGGTTTACCAACCCTGGGATTGTGGCACGATACGATTTCGATGAACCAGGTGAAGACAAATGTTGGAGCATTTACCGGTCAACAATAATGGAAAGGCTGGTACCGGATGAGTTCAGCGCTGAGCAAGTCTGGTATGTCCAACTCCCTTCCGACGGTGTCGTGTGGAATCGCCATCTAGAGGAACTGATACTCCTTCACACTTACTAAATGATCTACAAGTAGCTGATGCAATTTTTATTATTACTTTAGACATTTCGTTGAAATGCATCTTCTCCTCGTCCATTCGTTATTCTTTTCCTTCGGCCTTGCTCAGGCAGCTGTCACTGCCTGTGGTCCGCATGTCCAATCACCGTTTGGGACTACGACGGCTGCCTCTGCCTCATATACGGGCTCAGCTTCATATGACCGAACGATATTATAACCACCGCCCCCACCTAGTCCTCCCCCACCCACCCAGTTCAACGTGGACCTCCGACCTGCAGAGCGGAGATGTCTCGGGAGTCTCAATTCAACAGCAAGGCTCATTCTTTGGCTTCAGTATAGAGTTTGGTGTTACGACACAAGTCCGTAAGTATTTTGTTCACTCGCATGTGCATCCACTGAACATATCTTGTAGTCGGGCTGAACAGGTAACTAATTCAGTTGCCAAGAAGTACTATAGCATTTACCTCGATTGCCAGTTCTTTCCTCCAAGTCCCGTTTCTCAACCTTATGGCCAACCTGCGACAACGCGGGGGCAGCGTTAGGGTTCGTGTCGGTGGTAATACTCAAGAGACCGCTACCCTAGTGGCCAGTACCCCGGACGGTGCAGCTCTCGAGAAGGACTACGCAGGCATAGCCAACCCCGTAAGTGCTTTTTTTCTTTACTCGATTATCCTGAGACTGAACACCCCCAAGACGGCAACGCTGCCCCTTGTCTTCACAACTGAGATCATCAAAATGATGGCCGAGATATCTGCACTCACTAATGTCTATTGGTACATGGGTATGCGATACATGATAATACTCTTGTTGTCACTGACCTTCTTGCGCAGGTGTGCCGTTCAATGACACTCAGCATTGGCGCTTGCAGATCGCTGAAGTCGGAGAGGCGATGCTCGGAAATTATCTGATTGGTCTACAGGTCAGGGAATCTAACGTATAATACGACAGTCTCTGATTGCTTTTGCTTTAGGGCGGCAATGAACCTGATCTTTACTCAAGGCACGGTCATCGGCCGGATGTAAGGTATTTTTTTGGCCTGACTCCGTATTGATTGTTAACCTTTTTGCAGTCTCATAGCCCTCAGGATTACAAGGATGAATTCGGTCTTCTCATCGACGCAATGAACGCAGACTCTAATATCCCCAACAAAGATCTGCTCATTGGCCCCAATCTGGCTGGCATGTGGAGCCCAACGGATATCTGGGAAACCGGGTTCGCCACAGACTTCAACCAAAACCTTGCTGCGCTGGGTGTTGAAAGGTGAATCACAAATTATTCATCATCATCGTCTTCTGGCTCATAATCGTGAAGGTATCCCACCGATAATTGTTATGCCCAGTTCGGCATAGGAACTCCACGCACTGGCCCAGAGATGTTGCCGACCTTCCTGACACACCAAGCCGGAAAGACCATTGTTCCCTGGTGCTCCCGCTTATGCGCAATCCGTTGGAAAGCCCTTCATCGTGTCAGAAACCAATACAGCATCTTGCGGAGGTTTTCCCAGGTTAAGCGACAGCTTCAGGGCCGCCCTGTGGGGAATCGACTATGCTCTCCAACTAGCATACAGCAATTTCTCAACTGTTCTTTTCCATGTTGGTGGACAGAGCGTGTATTACAATGTACGTTCAACTCGGGTCCTGCCGTCATTCAACCTCTAACCATTGTCCTCTACAGCCCTTTACACGTTCGTATTAATCGTCCTATCTGGATGGTGATTTTTTTAACTGTATTCCTTCGCCTGTGAGAAACCAGTCGACGTACCAACAGTGAACTATTGGTATGAGCTACCTTGCATCATTTTTCTATTGGATGTCAATCAAACTCCCATCGCAGGTCCGGTCTCCTATAAACCATATCGTCAGGAAGCCGAAACTTATTTTTACTCGTTTGCCCTTGCGCTTCCTCGTTTGCCCTCGCGTTCGTTCGTTTGTTCTCGCGTTGACTCGTTTGCTCGTGCGTTCTCTCGTTTGCCCTCGCGTTGACTCGTTTGTTCTTGCGTTCTCTCGTTTGTCCTTGCGTTGACTCGTTTGTCCTCGCGTTGACTCGTTTGTCCTTGCGTTTGTTCGTTCGTCCTTGCGTTGACTCGTTTGTCCTTGCGTTGACTCGTTTATTCTTGCGTTTGTTCGTTCGTCCTTGCGTTGACTCGTTTGTCCTCGCGTTCGTTCGTTTGTTCTCGCGTTGACTCGTTTGTCCTTGCGTTGACCCGTTTGTCCTCGCGTTTGTTCGTTTGTTCTTGCATTGGTTCGTTCGTCCTTGCGTTGACTCGTTTGTTCTTGCGTTGGTTCGCTTGTTTGTCCGCGTTTTTGCGCCCCACCTCCTCGGCTGCGCCGAGGAGGCGGGGCGCCTCCTGGTTATTATTTTCCGCGTTTGTCCTTGCGTTGACTCGTTTGCCCTCGCGTTGACTCGTTTGTTCTTGCGTGTGTTCGTTTGTCTTCGCGTTGACTCGTTTGTTCGTTCGTCCTTGCGTTGACTTGTTTGTCCGCGTTTTTTGCGCCCCACCTCCTCGGCTGCGCCGAGGAGGCGGGGCGCCTCCTGGTTATTATTTTCCGCGTTTGTCCTTGCGTTGACTCGTTTGTCCGCGTTTTTTCCTCGCGTTTGCCCTTGCGTTCGTTCGTTTGACCTCGCGTTCACTCGTTTGTCCCCGCGTTCACTCGTTTGCTCGTGCGTTCCCTCGTTTGTCCGCGTTTTTTTCTCGCGTTCGTTCGTTTACCCGCAATTTTCTTCGCGTTTATCCTCGCGTTCGCTCGTTTTTTTCCGCGTTCACTCGTTTGTCCTTGCGTTGACTCGTTTGTCCGCGTTTTTTTTCTCGCGTTTGTTCGTTTATCCTTGCGTTCCCTCCTTTGTCCGCGTTTTTTTTCGCGTTCGTTCGTTTATCCTCGCGTTGACTCGTTTGCTCCTGCGTTCCCTCGTTTGTCCGCGTTTTTTTCTCGCGTTCGTTCGTTTACCCGCAATTTTTTTTTTTCGCGTTTGCCCTTGCGTTGACTCCTCTGTCCGCGTTTTTTTCTCGCGTTCACTCGTTTGCTCGTGCGTTCCCTCGTTTGCCCGCGTTTTTTTCTCGCGTTCGTTCGTTTGTCCTCGCATTTGTTCGTTTGTGCTTGCGTTCCCTGGTTTGTCCGCGTTTTTTTTCGCGTTCGTTCGTTTATCCTTGCGTTCCCTCCTTTGTCTGCGTTTTTTTCTCGCGTTTGTTCGTTTGTTCTTGCGTTGACTCGTTTGTCCGCGTTTTTTTCGCGTTTATCCTCGCGTTCGTTCGTTTGTCCTCGCAGTTGTTCGTTTGTCCTTGCGCTCACTCGTTTGTCCTTGCGTTCCCTCGTTTGTCCGTATTTTTTTTCGCGTTTATCATCGTGTTCGTTCGTTTGTCCTTGCGTTGACTCGTTTGTCCGCGTTTATTTTTCGCGTTTGTTCGTTTGTCCTTGCGTTCCTTCGTTTGTCCCCATTTTTTTTCGCATTTGGCTATCAAACACTATGTTGGTAACGTCCTCTGAGTTATCTTGTCCGCGTTTATCCTCGCGTTCGTTCGTTCGTCCTCGCGTCGACTCGTTTGTCCCCGCGTTCACTCGTTTGACGGTGCGTTCCCTCGTTTGTCCTTGCGTTGACTCGTTTGAAAACCAGGGACCCTATCTACCTCCCACCTCAAGAGGCTGCCTGGCCCTACTGCCCCAACTATTCCAATAATGTGGATCGTGATCAGCAACCCGTTCCCTCGTTTGTTCCCGCGTTCCCTCGTTTGTCCGCGTTTTTTTTCGCGTTTGCCCGTGCGTTCCCTCGTTTGTCCTTGCGTTGACTCGTTTGTCCGCGTTTTTTTTCGCGTTCGTTCGTTTGTCCTTGCGTTCCCTCGTTTATCCTTACGTTCACTCGTTTGTCCGCGTCTTTTTGTCGCGTTTGTCCTTGCGTTCACTCGTTTGTCCGCGTTTTTTTTCGCGTTTGTTGGTTTTCCTGCGTTGTTCCTTCGCGTTTCGTTCTTTTTTTCCGCGTTCGTCCGTTGCCAGCAGCGGTGGGCTTGGCTCTGATCCTGACAGTGTTGATTCTGCCGATTGACCTGTCTTTGGAAGATGGATACATCTCCAGTATAATGGTGCACGCACCTGAAGTCTGAAGGCGCCGCACTTTCTCTCCCATCCCCGCACACCTTCATGTAAGTGCAAGAAGCCTGCCTTTTTCTCCTGTCCACCTCCGCCCATCCATGGGTCTCGAATGAGTGGGAGACTTCATGTACTACATCAGGCTCGTCAAATGTTGACATGAAAGCTGAATTATGAACCGCTGTCTGCTTGCGGTGCCGTCCGTTCAGGCTTTTCATGGTGACTTTCTTTAATAATTGAACAATGCACTTTTAACATTTGTGATCTGAATGAATACCACATAGTGGTGCAAATATGTAGAGAAGTAGCTACCCTGCACATGTAGAGGTCAAAAGTTGAGTTTTTTTACTAGTAGTTGTACAAATGCCCACTGTTTGTTGGATCTTGCATGTCATGGCCCATGGGACACAGAAAATTGATGAATCCTTTAAGTTGGCCTTTCTTATGCACAACTAGCTGCTTTTGCTCCTTGACATCTTGTACCTTCATTTTGTTTGTCGAAACATTGAAAAAAAAAATAATTCATGTTTCAATGATTTTCTGTGTGGGACCTGTCAAAACATTGAAAAAAATAATAATTCATGTTTCAATGATTTTCTGTGTGGGACCTGTCAAAACATTGAAAAAAATAATAATTCATGTTTCAATGATTTTCTGTGTGGGACCTGTCAAAATATTGAAAAAACATAATTCATGTTTCAATGATTTTCTGTGTGGGACTTGTCAAAACATTGAAAAAAAAAATTTCATGTTTCAATGATTTTCTGTGTGCGGGACATGATGCAAAAATTGATCATGTTCCTTCAAGGATAATTTTCCATGTATTGTGTGCAGAAAAAAATATATAATTTGTGCATGTTCTGAGGCAGAGTATCCTGCAATCATGTTTCTTTTTTTTTCTCTGAACATAATAAATGTTTTTCAAGTGTTGTGCAGCAGGAATATACTGCAAACATCATTTATTTATTCTTACAAAACATGAGGCATGTTTCATAAATTTCCTCTTACCAAATATACAAATGAATGTTTGAAAGTTTCTTTGCTTTTCCTGAACAAAACATTGTCAAAATATATTTTATTATTTGTTATATGATTTTTCAATGTTCTTGGATCAAACATATGGTGAACAGGATGAAGTAATTGAGATTTTTGATGCACAGAACATTGGAAAAACAGAGGCAAAAAATTTAACATGATTGTAAATTGTTATTTGAAGAATGATGAGTGAAAAATATTGACTGTTTCCCGAGGGAAAATGACACATTTTTATATTATGTCTTGCATACAGAAAATCTTTAATACATTCATTATTTTTTTTCAATGTTTTGATACACAAAATGCAAGGAAATTTCTATCTTCTAATTCAATGTTTTTTGGATGTTTGGTGGAGGAACATGAGGAAATGCCTGCAGTGTCAATCTCACAGCATCTAGCATCGCCCTCTTCCAACCCATATACTCCATCACAAATGACTCTGTCACCGTCAATGGACACTCACTGATTGGCCCATGCCACGTTCATCTACAGAACGCACAAAACATGAACTTGCACCTCGGACACGTATGCAACCGTGCCCATCCACTCTCTTTGTTTGACTCTTCCGGACTCGGCACACAGGATAATGCACCATTCCAGGATCTCGCTCTGACACCCTCTTTTCTCTAAGCCACTTCCACCTCTCCACCTCTCCTTCTTCAACAACTCTTATTATATCTTCCTCACCAGATTCTTGTCCCCACACATACAGCATCAGGACACCCGACCCATCCAATATCGCCCTCCCTTATACACGAACTCCAGAAATCTGTTAGACACGAATGGCAGAATACATGACCGCACGCAATGCCTTCCTTTGTGTGAAGACAGACAGATCGCACAGTGCAGGGAAACGATGTTTCAGCAAATGCAGTATCTTAGGCATGTGTATCGTACGATTCAAGGAGCGCTAAAGGGAAGGAGTTGGTTATCGTAATGTTACTGGATTCCAAGAACTCTCCTCCACTGATGAATGCTACCCAAGTATAGAGAACCCCTTGCGAATCGTGCGTCCACATTCCAGCGAGCTGAGTCTGCAGGTCACTGCTCGGATACCAACCATATGTGCATGTAACAGATATTCCGGAGGAAGAATCAACGCGAGCAAGAAAGGCAGGGGCGCAGTAAGCGGGCTCGTAGTGTGAGTGACTTTGAGGTAGTATAGAAGGAACGATGGTTACACTCCGTGCGGGTGACAGTTCAACCGGGACCTCCAGCTTGATTGCACGTCCAAATGGCCCAGCATCGTTAGGTCTGGAAAAATTGACTGCTCTTTACCAATCAATTCTTGATTCTGTACTTCAACTCTGACTCAGAACACACCTTTAGCACCCCCCACTCCTCCTCTTGCATCATAATGCACTCTTTATGGGCAATGCACCCCTCATCACCATCACTTGCGATACTTTCCCAAGGGCCTGATAGCATCGAAGAAGACATTCAAAACCTAAGGGAACTTTCCACGAAGGCTGTAGTAGTGATGGTCTGAGTCACGTGCATTCGTATCAATCTGTTTCTCGCCCTGCCATGAATGATGAATCGATGACACTGAGTCTGCAAATTGCAAGACTGCCAGACCATTGAAGCTCGCCTACTAATACTAGTCAGCATTTAACCCTTTTGAATTTGAAAAAGAACTTGTCTCTCTTCCAATCATCGGGAGTGAAAGTTAGCACGTTACCTGGGCCAATCCATTAACAGAAAGCCGCGGAAATATCTCAAATATTCATTATCTAATCAACCTGAATCGGAGTTGCTGTGAGTGTTCTCTTTGTTGTCAATTGAAGGACACTCAATATTCAATGTTTAGCAGGACCGATGGTTGAATTCAGTCTATGCTGTACGCTTGAGGGACACAACTCCCCGATTAACTGTGTATCCTTTGGTGAAGGGGGCTATCTAGCTACTGGATGTAAGAATCATCTTCCTTTTGTTCCTTATGATGACTGACGATCAATGACAGCCGATGACGGCCATATTATTTTATGGTCGCTAGCAGAACAATGCGAAGTTCTTCACATCAGACCTAAACAAGGCGCCATCATGAGCTTGAAGTGGGTGGTTAGCTTGCTGACCTCTACTGAATGGTTTCTCCTTTCAGGAGGCGCCGATGGCACATTGCAGTTGCAAAGGTTGAGTAACGACAAGGTGACTTTCTCCTCCCGCCAACCGAGACATCTGATCTTTGACCGAAATCTATTGATGATTTGGTATAATACAGCGTACAAGTGTTCTCTTGAGCATGCATACCGTGTTTGCCGGTGCAATCTCATGCATTGATGTAAATGATGCTCGCAGTACAGTTGCTGTGACCGGACCAGGTAGGGTTGTCTTGTTCAAAATTGTAGCAGGAAATCTAGGTATGATTTTCTTCGTGTTACAGGGTCCAACTGATTTTCATTCAGATCCAATGCAATGCATCTCTGCTGACCCACCCTTCTCACACGATCCAAAGCCTGCATTTGCTATCTCAGTCCACTTCTTCAAGCAAGGCAAGGGTATCCTCGTATGCTACCTGGATTCTCATGAAATGTAATATTGCTTTATTCAATGACTCAGTTTTGTAACACTGATATGAAAACTTCAGTGTAGCCTTCTGTGTGTCGCCCTGGAAAGAACTGTGGAGGCAAAAGCTGATCAATCGCATGTACGCTGAGGCTCTCTACTTGTCAGTTCAAAAGACTCACCCATGACAGCGGCAGCTCAGCATATTCTGACCCTCTAAGCTATCTACTAGTGTGGAACCTTTTGGACGCGATTGAAGTCTACCAGCTAACAGACAATCCCACGTGTCACCTACTACTCATCAAAACACTTCATGTTAGGATCAGAAGAAATCACATTTGTGACGTGCAATTCGATTGTACTGGAAAGTCAGCCATCAGTGGCAGTGATAATGGAGAAGTTCACCTATGGGACATCGACCGTGGACAACTCAAACAAGTGCTGCTGCATGGAAAGGGTAAGCAATGTTGGCATAACTTGTGTTTCCATCACTGACTTTGGGTCTGGCGACTACTAGAACTCTCAGCTGTGCAGACTATTGCAGTAGGTGTAGCCTTGGTGCGATATTCATCATTTTGGCTGATATTTTATAGTACTACTTGGTTCAGAACGGAAAGCACTTTATTGCGAGCGCATCATCTGAGCCTGGTGACTCATTTCCTACCATCAAAGTTTGGTCCACTCAGGGGGTGCGATTACTTTATCTGTATGAACACTATTCTACTTATTTCATGGATGGGTTAAGACATCCGCTTTATCCACACAAGCTAAATTCATCAGTAGCAAGGAACGAAGTGGTCACAATAATATTCACAGCCATTTTTTGCATTTGGTAGTTCTTTTGTTGCTTGGTATCATTGCTGTAGTCACGGCGATAACCATCCAAGTTTGTATGTTTATCAACAATTAGATTTCGATGTAGTAGTATGCGCATCTAACGACAGCCAATTGACCCTGTCCGATCGCCACAAAGGATAGAGGCACGTGCTTCTTCATCAACTGTCTAGATCTGATCAGGTAGACTTGAGTCCCCATTGTAAGCAGCGCCTTTTCAGGAAGCTAAGTCTAATATTCATCTCAAGTATCAGATGCCACTTGAAGGTGTTTGAGTAGATGACTTACGATATCTTGAAATTACTGGTCTCCTTGTGTGTTCGAAGATGTGGTATAATCTCCGGATTGCTGTACCCACTAGCAACATATTCCTCTACCAGTGGTCTTATGATTGCATCCAGAGCTGCGGTGCAAATGATATCAGTAGGTTGTCAGTAGGAACTCATAAGTTCAACTCAATTCCAGTTTAAACTTTCATTACACTTATGAACCGAACCTTTTTGCCTTGTGGGTTGGACATTAGAAAAATGTGTCATTACTGGGCTCCAGCACTTCCAAAAAAATTAAAATGGTACACTGGCACGAGAAGATGTTTCTGTATTAATGGTAGTACAAGTTTACAAGAGACCCATTGCGCTGAGGCTTTACAACATGGCACCACTTGTAGTGGCAAATCGAACTAAAAATCTATATTTGCAGAATCGGCACCCTCGGCACTCGGTCGGAATGTCAAATTTTGTCACCAATGTTGTACAGTATAGTCTTTCTGCTCGAATCGATTGGAATCGATGAAATGATATCAACTCCGCAATCACAAGAACAAAGGGAAGATGTGTTCAGCAGTCATCACGTATCCTCCTACCAACTCCCACCATGTCTGCAGGTGCACGCCGCGCGTCAACATTGTATGCTCTGGTTTCTGCCCTTACTGGGCATGTCGACAATATCACCTGCCTTGCATTTGCTCCTCAAGGTGATCTTCTGGCCAGCGGTGGAGATGATGGTAACATTATCTTATGGGATGTGTCTCTGGGAAAGATATTGCATCGGATCACCACCAGTCGTCCAATTACCAGCCTTGCTTGGGATCCATCAGAATGGAGAAGAAGACTCTTTGTGGGTGGCGCTGATGGTTTATTGGCTATCATGGAGAACTTCAAGGTAGAGTATCCATTGAGCGTACACATTTAATTTCACCAATAGTCTCCCATAGGAACAAGAACCCGTTGACTCCATTTTGACTGGTGTAAAAGCTCCTGTTTACGCCATTACTATTGATCCATACACTGGCCACGTGGCCATTGCCCTTGGGTCTGAGGTACACGTTGCTAAAGAATTAGAGAACTGTAGGGTAATGGTCGCTGGCAGTGGAAAATGGCGACTCTGATTTTTCGTTCCTACAGGAAAGTACGCTACATTTAAGATCCTGCCAATGCCTCTGGAACTACCTTCCTCTCAGAAGCCCAGTAAAACTTTGGATAATCGTGTGCGTGCCCATGCGTTAACATTCAAGAACTGTGGGAGGGAGTTGGTGGCCACCTACCTAAATCACGGTGTTGTGTGAGCTCCATGACATAACCACGTGTTCCAACTTGAATATTAACCAAACCTTTAGATGCTGGCATGTCGAGAATGATAGTAGTGTCCAGAGGTGGCATATCAGTCCGATTCACGGTCATCAATTGATGTAAGTGAGATATGTCAGCGTTAAATTTTACAGGCACTAATTGATTGATAGCGGTCATGCGGCGCTCTCTCCTGACGAGTCTTCGGTGTTGCTGTCTAACCTCAGTGATGGCCTGGATTTATATACAGTGGGACAGAACCACCCCCAACAGAGCTATAAGTTTTCACACTCTGGAAAAGCCAATGTGCCTGTGCAGGTCGCTTTCATAGAACATGGTCAGGCTGTGCTAAGTGGCTCCCCGGATGGAAATGTGCATGTTTGGGATTTAGCATCAGCGGAAAGTCGCCAGGTCCTTGAGCATGATTGTGCAATGTGTTGTTTATCTTTTTATCTGCCTCTACTGAGATTCTATTGGTATGCAGATTGTGTAGTGCAAGCTGTGGCAGTGGGTATCGTTTTGGCTCCCACATTTTGTTCTTTCAATATTTTCAGGCCTTTGACTGCTTTGATTACTCTATCATTGCGACAGCTACTGCTTACGTGCCTGATTCAAGCTCTATCAACATTAAGTTGTGGAGGTCAAAACGATGTGAGTGTTGCCTCATGTTTTACTTTTACATTCACATCTTATACCATGCTAGCAATCTACTGGATGCATTATGGCCACTATGTCGCCTTCAATCTGAAGGTGCAGTCACTGCTCCTATGCTTCTATCTTCCACCTCGTGCTTACTACATTGCATTGACATGTAGCACCTGGCTATTCGACACTTGTGTGTGACACCGAATGATTTTCGCACATTTTATGAGCTTTTGAAAATGTTGTGTGGGGTTGTTGCTCTGTATTTCCTTTTTTTGCTAGCTAACCGATCGATCATTGATGCGGTGAGGTTGATTCCGTACTTTTTTTAAATTCAGCCTTACAAATGCACCTTCTAGGGAAGCTCAGGCATTATTCTGGTAAGTCCTTGGGGTTTCTCAATTACAGCGGTTTAACACACGTCTCCAGGGTCTATCAGTCGCCGACACCATCTACCACAGCGTCTTGGCATGGTGGGTTGACTTACCATCTGCCCGTGAATTAATACTTCGGCTTGTGGAGACTTTGTATACCTGGTTGAAGAACGTAGATGAATTACGATCTCCAGACGTCTTAGAAGCCTATGGGACTAGGACGCTTTCATCCACCATCACTACAGTACTATCATCCCCCCAGGAAATGTTGCCTGCCTATGAAGTACCTAATTTTGTCGCCAATGTGCCCGGGTTGTAGTTTAATTGAGGAGCTTCCACTAGTCAGAGGTTGGCATTCATTAAGATAGCCCGGGCGGATACAGAATTCAGCAATAACAGTCAATGAGGAAATGATCAGAAACGGAAATCGGGGACTTGGACCACTACCAATATACTTGCAGGTGGTGAAATGAATTTTCAAGTTATACAACATTAACAGGAGACCCCTTCGGTTTGCTCTTCGACAACAAATTGAGGCTTCATCGATTACTAAATCTACACATATTACAGTGACCTATCTCCATATAATACGAGGGAACAGACGTGCATAATATCCCGTATGATACGGGCCAGCAGACCATGGGCCCATGATAAAAATATCCTCGACTATGACGGATGGGCCAGGAGGCAAATTATTCCCGATGGAGACGGGTGGGCCCATGCAGGGAATATATAGAGTAGATGAGTGGGCCGATGTACATGAATATTAGGTAGACGGGTGGGCCGAGGTAGTTGGATATTATGCAGATGGGTGTATTAAGGTAGATGTGTATGAGATAGATGGGTAGGTACTTGTTATCACATTCACGGGTGGCCCTATGTCGGAAATTCTTTTACGGCATTCTGATGGATTACAATGGCCTAACGACACGGCCCAATTATAATAGATTATGATCAAACAGTCAACATATTAATAAGCATTATCATGTTATTTTAATGCAGATTTTAATGCTATTACAATCGAGTCACAACGTCATCTCCATGCCATAACAATTGTATTTCGATGACATTCTGACCAGTCTCATAAGAAGGATGTGATGAGCATTTCAGATTTTATTATCATTTTAATGGCGTCACAACTAAGTCATATTTTCATCTCAACGTCGTGACAATTTCATTTTCATTCCAACAACATTCTGACTGAATTGTGACAATCTCGTTATTAAGGATTCAATGAGCATTACTATCATGCTAAATATGAATTCTGCAAAAAATTATAATGACATTTCCACTATGGCAGAACAACTGTACATGGTGTAAGAAACACGAGGTAAGGAAAGTGGACATTGGCCCCAGGACCAACTCAAAATGCTGTATGACTCTATCCAGGCGAGAGGTCGTCTTGCTTGCCATGTATTTCGCAAAATGTTCATGGCTTGTGCTCAACGATTGACTGCATTTGGCGTTCGGTCAGAAAGAGCCAACAAAAAAGAAAAAGCCAGTGACTCACATCAAGCGATACACGTCATGATAGAGTGGACAAGGGAGTTTGGACCAAACGTTGAAGGATATTGCACGAGGCCGCGACAGATGGGTTTTGTCTTCGGCTGGTCAGACACGGGTAAGGCAGGCGTAGAGAGCGAGACAGTGACATTGCAGTCATTGGACGACGAAAGTGAGACAGTCGCAGATATGGGTAGTGGAAAGGGTGCTCGTGTATAATCAGACAAGGGTGCGAATGAATGAAAAAAAGACTCACCTCACTGTCAAACACGCAAATGAAGCCAAATGTTAATGCATTTCACTGACCGTCCCTCCACACCTTGTTGATTCTGAGTTGCCCTGGCATCAGCTCATTCTGAAGAGAAGTGAAGAAATAGTAAGTCAGAGGTGCGTGTTGAAAGCGAGGTTGGGAGAATGAACTCAAGTAGAGATGGTGGTTACAGTGAGAGAGTATCATAATGACACATGAGTCATCCCGTCGCCATGTAAATGTATGATCATGTGATCGGTTTGTCATCATGATAGACCTAAAATTAGTAAAATAAGAGATTGAGGTAGAGGTGACTCAGAAAACGAGCGTGTAAGAGGCTAGGATTGAAAATTCTAATGATGATGATGGCCATGATGTACCTGATAATGAGCAGTGCAATCCGCCATACGCCGGGGTGCACATTGTGAAAGTGACTGAAGGAGGTAGGAAGTATCATGAAGGTGTGGCTGATGGCGGGTCCGGCAGAGTATGGAGGAAAAGCAGGCCCTGGTGGTGAAGGATAACGATGGCCATATGAAGGTGTGGGCGCCAAAGCAGCTGGAGGAGACGGAAAGGGATTTGTGGTAGGAGGAGGGGTTGTCTTTGAGGGGGAAGGGAGAGTGTAAGTTGGGTAAGGTCCTTGACCTACGAAATCCTTCTTGACCATGTCCTCAAACTCCCTCAGCGTTACCAGATCCAGGTACTGACACATCTCGCGCTCTGTCGCTGGAGCAAAACGAGGGCAGCGAAGGTTAGCAATGGTGATATGAAGGCGTGGCTGATGGCGGGCCCGGCAGAGTATGGAGGCTTTGGTGGTGAAGGATAATGATGGCCATATGAAGGCGTGGGCGCCAAATCAGCTGGAGGAGATGGAAAGGGATCTGTGGTAGGAGGAGGGGTTGTCTTTGAGGGGGAAGGGAGAGTGTAAGTCGGGTAAGGACTGACCTACGAAATCCTTCTTGACCATGTCCTCGAACTCCCTCAGCATTCCCACTCCAGATACTGACACATCTCGCGCTCCATCTGGTTAATTTCGCGCAGCTGGAACATGCCCTGCGTCACAATACTCCAGGATTTTGATGCGAGCATGAAAGCGGACACGAAAAGATGGTGACTGGAAGAACCCCGAGCAGTGGGAAAACACGCCTTGAGTCGCTGGAGCAATACGAGGGCAGCGAAGGTTAGCAATGGTCATAATACGAAGGTGTGGCTGATGGTGGATCTGGCAGAGTATGAAGGGAATGTCTTGAGCTCCTGCAGCACACTCGGGATCAGCGCGAACGCAGGGAGAGAGACAGCAATACCTGGCTTCAAAGGATGACCTGCATGCTTGTGTCTTCATCGTCTGAGTCCTAGTAAATGCGCATTGTGAGTAAAAGAAGAAAATAAGTCAGTATCACTCATTAAGATCAGTATCCTCGTCGTCATCATCTGCATCTGCCATTTCTTCGTCCTCGCTGTCCGTCATTCGGTGCTGCTTCTGAATCTGTCAGAGACCTCAAGAATAGTGTCTCGAGAGCCACAGTCAGAAAAAAAGGGTGTAAATCTGCGTGATAACGACCAAATAGAATGATGATTGCTTGCGACCTATATCGATTGAACTTGAGCGCTGACTGGTACATGGGAGTTGGTATGGTAATAGGTAGGAGGCTAGTCTGAAAGCTCAAGATGCGTCAATAAAGTGACGAGAACTATTTAGTAGAGACGGTATGACGAGAGGAACGGCGAACATCTTGCCCAGTTAAATCAACCTTCTGACTTTTTCCCCGACGTCCCTTGGACTTCGTAGTGACAGCCACGGAGTTTTCAATAGCTGGCTCCAGATGGGGTGCGGCTATCACTGTAGCAGCTAAGGCAGACTCCAAACTTGTAGCACTTGATCCAGGATTGAGTACCACACCCTGAGTTGAGATTGATGGCGCGACATAAGAAGGCAGGGGGGGTTCGTGTTGCAGGGGAGAAGCTACTGCAACAGTATTTGAGCCTGATGATGCGGTGGTTGAAGAACTTGGTTCAACGACGGTAGGATGGTGCGCATGAAGGCTGTCAGAGCCAACGGGGTCTTCATCCGAACTGCTATCTGAATCGTCTAATGCTGCCATGACACGATCAACCATGTCTTCAGGCTGGCCTGAGGTATCGTCCTCCTCTGTCTGAGCAACATTGTCAAAGACATAACCGTTGATTTGTCCCACAATGGCTTTGATGCGTTCATGGGTCCACTTGACGATGAAGAATCTTTTCACGGCGCGGAAGATGGTGTGGTAAGGGATCGAAGAAATGGCTCCAATACCATCCCCGGAGAATTCTTGATCTGGGGATAGCATGAAGATTATCTACCGAATATGATATCAGTCAGATAGTGCCTTTGAATCATTGACATCGACACATACCGAAGTCACACCAAATGCTATCATACCAGGAGTGCAGCTGTTGAGTTTCCACATCTTCGCATAGGTAGGCGGGCCACCACGCCCCTTGGGGAACAATGACATCTTGCCGCACACTGAAACCTTGATAACCTTTCAAAGAAAGATGTGAGTGATTGTCCTATGGTTGAGTCAGTGTATTTTACCTTCGCGATCATCAACCAGGCTCTGAAAATCTTTTTCTCGTTAACAATGTTATCAGGGTACAGTACCGGTGCTTTGAAAACATCGAAGGTCTTCCCCTTCCCCACCTCCCATCCAATCATATCCGTAATTTGCTGGACGGAAGCACGGTCATATCTGGCAACAAAGTACTCGGGTGACATGTTGAAGATGCTACCTGAAACAGTACGTAGACCATTGAAGAATGATGATCGTGCCTGTTGCATGCCGCTTGCAAACTGTTCCGCAAATCGTCAACTCGTTTACAACTACGTAAAATTTTAAGTTACGTACCAAGTTAAAGAATGAATTTGTTCGCATCTGAGGATGCAACTCATGATCGATTGAGGCATAGAGCTCAGTGACAAGGGCAGCCTTCTCTATTGATTTCTTAGCATAACGTTGCGGACTTGTTATATCGACCAGAGGATCAGGGCAGTCTGTCTGAAAAATGACCTTTTCGGGCAGGAACATCTCCGTCGTCAATGCATACTTCTTGGCCAAACCTAAGATTAGCTTGTCGATGATGGTCTCAGACGTGATGATGGATGCTGTAGTCGATGGCGCAGATGAAGGTGGCACAGACGAACGCGAGGATGCGGTAGATGAAGGTGGCACGGATGAATGTAAGGACGCAGTAGATGAGACCGGCAATGCAGCAGCAGATGACATCTGATTTGGTGAGCGCCTGCGACGTTTCAACTGCTGTGCTGCTAGTGTACCATTGGTTGCATTCAGCGCTGCATTACGCTCTTCCAACTTTCCTTTCTCAAGTTGAAGTTGCTTAATGTACTAGATAAAATGAGTCAGGGAATGGATGCGAGTCGACGAAAGAAAAAAGAGCCTACCGCTTGAAGGTGCTTTGTAGACGCATCGGCGCTTGGTGGTGCCACAGGCCGTGGGGCATCATCATCTGAATCATGCCCTGAATCCGACAATGACAATAGATTAGAGTCGGAATCTTCGAGGTTTGAATCAGAGTCCAGCGGAGAGTCCGACATGAGCTATATGCAAAGAGAGAATGCGTGATGTGTGAGCGGCCCAGATGCTGAGTGAACAAATGGATCGCGAGGTCTTTATATACATTTTGCGGGCAACCCTAAACGGTTTAGAATCAATCTGTGGTATTACTAGTGAGTGAGATAATGACAGACATGAGTTGATTCAACAATAACATACATAATACGATTTGACGCAATCGCTTCGGTACACAAGTCGTTATTAGTGAAATGGATCATGGAAGCTGTGACCTTGAGAAGAAATGCTGGATGAAAGATGCGTGTCCAAACACGAGGTGACACTGTGTTACGACACACTTGTGTCAGTAATGTCAATGATGCAGCTTGATGACCTACTTAATGCATATTATACCTAATGATATTGTGTGTTGCAAGCCGAGGCCACCGCCAAAGTGTCAGGCGAGTTAAGCTTGCAGATACTTGAGCCGAAGAAACATGTCTGCATCAACCGTGTCGATGACGAAGTAATCGCCTTGTCTCCCAGGATCACTGGCAAGCGCAGCCCCTCGGATAATCGACCTTACAGAGATGAATTCGGGAGATGACCGAGGTTTGGCTCGTACACGCCATAGTCCCAGCTCAGTGTCATGCTTGCTACGGACACCGATTCCGACATCATATGGATGTATGAGCGCCAGTGAGAGATTGGTTTGGCCAATCGAGCAACCGAACATGAAGATAAGGTGAGCAAAAAATGGTTGATTGTTGGTTTGAACCATAACACAATCATATCGCGGAGATCCAAAGAACTCGGGGTTGCATCGAAGGAGGTCTCTGCACTGGCACCAGTTGACCATAGACTCGTAGTTGACTTGCAGATATTTGTATCCGGTAATCTAAATATTATGTTGCACAGCACAATTTTAACAAGTGGTTAGCAGGTTGAGTTGTTGGCGTACCTTGTTGTCAGCCTGCAAATGAATGTGCTTGCCATCTGGTAAAGGAATGTCGTTACTGGGGAAGAATGTGTTCAGGAAGCCATTGAGTTTGACTCGAAAACCAACAAAGGCCCTGTCGTCTGCGTGTGACTGCTCGAGACTTGCAAATGAGATGTCACCTTGCGCCGAGCCTAACTTTACGTGAGTGCAGGGAGCTGGGGCCACAGAAATCACAGGATTTTCTGCGTCTGCGTCTTCTGTTGTTGGGAGGTTGGCTTTCCGATTGTACTCGTCCAACTCGTCGAGTTCAGAGCGCATTGATGTTGAGGTTAGTAACCAATGATCATAGCGAAGAATCTGAACTCGTTAAGTTAGTTCATGTTAATCCAGTCTTGTTGACACACGAACCTGTGTAGCGACGTCCTTGAAATTCGTTCGATTGTGGTAGATGTCCCTCACGGGGCCGTGCATCTTCTCATTCGGTTTTGTGTTGTAGTTTCGCGTCGCGCCTTTCACCAAGATATCGTCGAATAGATGCGAACTTGCGTGTTTCTTGGGGAAATTCCAGTCCTTGCCTGTTACAGGCTGTGATTTGAGAATATACTCCTAATAACAGATCATAGGTGAATGATCGGGAAGTATTGCGAAGCATAACTTACCTCCATCAGCGCTGAAAAATCCCGCAGAGCTTGTCTTCCTGCAGATATTGTACCTTCAGTGTGAACCTCAAATCCAGCGTAAATGTCGAGATCGATATAGTGGCGTATGCATCGCAGAAGGAGATAGCCGAGCTTACTCTGTGAACGGCGGAGGATCCTTTGCGCCGCAAAGATAGCCATCTGAGGCTCGTTAGCACAGGATGCAGCTTCAGTTGCAGCTTACCTTCAATATGTCCTCGTGATGCAAGCTGTCATTGAAATCAACTCCAACTACCTTCGAGAAGTGCGTCAGGTTAGACCACCGCGGAAAAGCATCATAGCTGAGGTAGTACTATTAAGTTTGAGGCAGCTCATGTCGGATAACAATATGAACGTACTTTGCATCCATCTCCGCAACAGCTTCTCGCCCTAATTCAAGTATCCAGAACTGCAGCTCCTTCCACAGATGGTGCCTCCAAAGCCCTCCATGATGCACATGCATGCGATCAAAGGAGAGCGCTCGGTGAATGTCAGTGAGCAGCATTCTCCAGAAGACATTCTGAAGATCATGTCTGTCAGCGTAATATAAACAAAAGACCTTGCAAAACATACTTCAACGTCACGCAGCGAGTAAGTTTTAAGTAAGTTTTCCCTCTCCTTCTTAGATTTCTTCGCGCGGGCCAACCGAAGGGTCTCCTCAGACTCAGCGCTTGTCCGTAATTGAAGTTCGTGAGATAAGACGGATTGCTTGTCTCGAGGAACCAAGCAGATCGGGCAGGGAAATTTACCTTTCAGTCCACGAATCAATGCCATAACACATCTATCACACAGCGTCAGCAATATCACAGCGAACTTGAGCATTGTAAGACTCACTGTTCTTCATAGTCGGCACTCAGAATCAAAATCAAGGGCCACAGCAGGCGCCGGATGGCGTCACCACACTCGAACCAATATCCTGTCCTCGAGATCTGTATGACGGATTCTAAAAGTTTTAAAAAGGACTCGTGCCAAACGGCATTCTTGAAGTTCACGAAGCTGCTTTTTCCTGCATGCTCCGGATCCTCTGACACCTGCTCTGACATCAGCATGTGTATGAAGTTAAACTAAATACTAACAATAGGCAGCCAACCTACAATTCGGCCACCACCAAGACCAGTACCATTCCGGATTTCGACAGGCAGGTTTGCGATCCGACAAACAATCGGATAGGCTTTCTGGGTACCGAAAGAGGATAATTTTGCCTTGTCTGCATACAATATAAAAGCGAGAGGCTTTGCCTCAGGTGGAAGTCATGACTACACAAGGTGCAGTTGCATGTCATTGGACATGCAAAGTGATCAAGACTTACCTGTGCATCCCAGAATGCGTCGGCAGTCCAAGGTTCATCAATAAAGCATACAAAACGCGTACCATTGAATTTATATAGGCGCTGTGCATCAAATACGAAGTGCGGCGCAAGACGTCGATCTCGCAACATATCAAGAGCCCATTCCCAAAGAGGACGATAGTGCATATCAAACTCGTGCACCTTGTTTTTATACGGAACCGAAACTACATCAACTTGAAACTTGATAAATTACATATGTTTAGTTAAGTGCGTCTAATTGAACTTGTATTTGCCTACCGGAGTGAAGCGTTGGGAAGCGGTTGACCACAACTCCCGGACTTCATCATGGTTTCGTAGTGTAAAGGTTTCGTCGCTACGTGCGGAACGATGAACGAGACTAAGCAGACGATTGGTTTGATCTGCGTTGAGTGCAGCTTCAAGGGCGATTTCCGCGACCTCAAAATCGAGCCGTGTTCGGAATGGTTCCCATGGTGCGTGATTCCAAGGTACTGAAGCTTCTGTGGGACGTGTGCGAGAGAAATCGGCAAAATGATGAATGGTGGACGGAATCTGGCTGTGAGGATGATAATCAACCTTGATATCATCCAGCTGCGGTAATGGTTCCTGATCTGCAGGATTTGCATCGTCGTAGTGGCTCTGAAGGCCAGGCGACGCCATATTGAAATCCGATATCAGTGATTGACGACTTCGAGGCGTTGATCCCTGCATGTCTGACACATAAAACGATTGATCAGTTTTTGGGAATCCACTAGACTAATATGCAAACGTACCAATATTATCTTCTGAATCTGCAGCTTCGTTCTCGTGGTTGTGACGCTGCGTCGACCAAATGTTGATAGGATCAACTGACAATAGTGTTATTCGAGTGATCAGTGTGAAAGCAGATTATTAGGTGACTTACCTGTAGATGACGCCGCACGTCGTTTGGATTGAGTGTGAGCCTTATGTTCTGTGCAGTTGTGAGGTGAGTTATGGGACAAAACAAAAACGGTGTGCATAATACGTACATTTTTTCGCCGCTTCTTCGATAATCGCTTTGACCTCGTCATCTTCTTCTTTCTCCCGTGCCAGCTTCCTACATTTCTTTTCATGTGGGACCAGTCCACGAGCTCGTACTAGTATTCCGCATGTGTTACACTTCACGTCGTCTGATGTCCGTTGAGGAGGCATAGAAATAGAAATTGATGGCACGAAGAACGAGATGAGAACTTGCGGGGAATTTGAATTTGTGAGCAGCGACAAAGAGGAAATTGACAACAGAGTTTATCCTACCTAGTATGAGTGATGAGCGATTTAGACGTTAGAAATACTGCGCATGCGTACCTTTGTTGCAGATGGCAGTGAGCAGTAGAGTATAATTGAAACTCAGGTCGAGCTGAGACTTGATAGCAGTCTCGACGACATCGTAATGAGATCGTAATCAAATCGTTATCAAATCATAATGAAATTATAATCGAATCATAATGCTGATAAATATAGCATTACGATACGGGAGCATTATGATGCCTGCTGGAAATTTCCGACATACAAGAAGCCAAGTTCCGACCACCCAAATTTGGGTCAACCGTACCGACTTCCGAGTTCCGGGACCCGGGAGTCGACAAATGAATATCTGATGACCAGCACACTTCCAATCAGGTAGTATTTCATTGAGCAATGGATAATAATACATCTTTGACAGCCAAAATTATCTCAGGCTCCCTTATCTGATCCTCTCTATCTCCACCCCCTTTAACACCAAAGTCCGGACATTCAGCATTCAGTGTCTGATTTCCCAAGATTAACATCCAGCATGAACAGTTCTTCCCCTTCCACTCCTGATAGTATAAACATCTGGCGCACTTGGGCCCTGACTGTGACTTATGAAGCAGGGGAATATACCGAACAGAAATTCAAGGCAGAGAAGACTGGAGGAGGCCCAGTCATACCTTCCCTCAACCTAGACACTGATCTGGTGATGGCGTGCAATCGCTTGGCTGATGTACTCATAAAGGCATATAAAAATCCCAGTGGGTCTTCCTGCAGATTCGGAAAATTCGTTTTATCATTCAAATTCCTGCATGACAGTTCAGATGCAGATGGATATTGCAAGATATAGCAAATTGATCTCCCCGAAGGACACCGGGCATAATGAACAGAGAGAGGCTAGGTTGCTTGAGAGGTGTCCTCCTGGCCATGAAGGCAAAAGGTTGGTCGACGAACCTGCCACAATTCTCGATGCATCCAGTGCCATCATCGCATGGTACCTCCCAGACGCCCTGACCGACACCACCCAGGTGTGTAATATACATTGTTACTCAATGGATATTGAATATCAAATGGAACCTACAGAAGGAAATCAGGGAGGCCACTGATTTGCTCGCTCCAAGCCTCGAAAAAAGTGTAAGGGCTGATGGCAATTGGCGAACTAATCAAAAGTGGTTCAACCGGGGCTCGGAAGATGTTGGGGCAACTCCCGGATGCATCAATTTATCTCCGGCATGGTTTCAACAGGGACACGAGGTAGGATCTGATGAGATGGTGATTCCGGCAGTCATACTCACCAATCCCAAAGAATGTGTCAGATCCGGAGGTATCTGCATCATTGAAGGGACCTTCCTGCGAGAATATCCTCAAAGCCATTTCAAGGCCAGCAGCCATTGCGTCCGCGGCACTCAGAGTCATGCATCCTGAGCAGTACTGGGCAGGGTTGCGAACCTTGTCAAACCTCGGACATATAGCAGTAAGCAAGGATCTGCCACAGATGCCGGAGGCCCTGCAGTACTGGGCATCGGTGTTTAACACCCTCTCCATCATTTCCAATCGGGAAACCCCCAATCATCGAGACCATTTGTCCATTGCTGAATGCTTCGACATTCTCACCACCGTGGGGAACTATTCTAATGCTCGGATGACAATGCCAAGCCTTCAGCTGGAGTTCAAGTACAATTCCGGCTGTATGATTGCATTTTCCGGAAGGATTGTGAGACATGGAGTTTATGATGTGGAAGGGGATCAGATTGCTTGGGCATGGTATATGAGGGATTCTGTTCACATTTACGCTGGTGTTCCATCATGTGGATGGGCTAGTGTGGATGGTCCATACAGTGTGTGAAAGATCAAACAAAGAGCATGCATTGTGACCTATATACATTCCAACAAATGAATACCATGTACCAATAGTTATCTGGACCTCAATACTCAATTTTGAGCATTTGCGAAGTGATATATGGGACTGAATAATTTGGATGCGAGCCTCGGTATTCGATAATTGGAACTCGGGACTTGACATATGGGAGTCCCGAGTGCCAGGGTACTGAGTCCCGAGACCCGGACCTCAGCACTTGATATTTGAGACTGGGGGAAGATGTATAAATATGCTCGAATTAACATTTGTTATTGCCATACACATTTGACAAAACCCTGAACCCCGACATTGTGAACTCGGGACTCGACACTGTTCTGAATACCGAGTCCCGGAAGCCCAGGTCCCGAGTCCCAAATTTCGGAGTTCGGGGTTCGGCCACCCAGAGCTCGGCAACTGTGTTGGGTGTCAGGGTATCCGGAGCATTGGAGATCGCATGTGTCAGTATTCTGCGTTTCATGGTTCATCTTTCGTGATTATGGAATCGGGCGTCAGGGACTCGGTATTCAGAACACTGTCGAGTCCCAGGTCACGAGCTCTGAGTCCCGAGTCCCGAAACCCAGGTCCCAAGTCCCAAATTTCAGAGTTCGGGGTTCGGCCACCCAGAGCTTGGCAACTGTGTTGGGTGTCAGGGTATGCGGAGCATTGGAGATAGCATGTGTCAGTATTTTGCGTTTCATGGTTCATGTTTGGCTGACACATGCGATCTCCAATGTTCAGGATACCCTGACACCCAACACAGTTGCCGAGCTCCGGGTCACCGAACCCCGAACTCCGAAATTCGGGACTCGGGACCTGGGTTTCAGGACTCGGGACTCGGAGCTCGTGACCTGGGACTCGACAGTGTTCTGAATACCGAGTCCCTGATGCCCGATTCCATAATCACAAAAGATGAACCATGAAACGCAGAATACTGACACATGCGATCTCCAATGCTCCGGATACCCTGACACCCAACACAGTTGCCAAGCTCCGGGTCACCGAACCCCGAACTCCGAAATTCGGGACTCGGGACTCGGGTTTCAGGACTCGGGACCCGGAGCTCGGCAACTGTGTTGGGTGTCAGGGTATGCGGAGCATTGGAGATCGCATGTGTCAGTATTCTGCGTTTCATGGTTCATCTTTTGTGATTATGGAATCGGGCATCAGGGACTCGGTATTCAGAACACTGTCGAGTCCCAGGTCACGAGCTCCGAGTCCCGAGTCCTGAAACCCAGGTCCCGAGTCCCGAATTTCGGAGTTCGGGGTTCGGTGACCCGGAGCTCGGCAACTGTGTTGGGTGTCAGGGTATCCTGAACATTGGAGATCGCATGTGTCAGCCAAACATGAACCATGAAACGCAAAATACTGACACATGCTATCTCCAATGCTCCGCATACCCTGACACCCAACACAGTTGCCGAGCTCCGGGTGGCCGAACCCTGAACTCCGAAATTTGGGACTCAGGACCTGGGCTTCCGGGACTCGGATGCAAGATTTTTGAATGCATAGAATATTTTACATCTTGTATACAATGAACACTGAATGGGACTACACTCCTTTGCCTTTCCTCAATTTCTCTAACATGTCAGTGTACATCTTCACCTCTGCCATCTTGGCTTTGATGCCCTCATCTTGCTCCTCCATCAATGCTTCCATGCGTTCTTTAATCCACCTCAGTCCCATAAGTGGTGGAGTCAAAGTGTTTCTCAACTTCTCTGGAAGAACCAAAGCATCATCCTCAACATTAAGCTAGAACAGATAAGTCATCAATCAAGGCAATTCAGCTAACATCTTACCGCCCAATACTGGTAGTGAGAGACACAGGAAGCCATTATTTCATCCCACTGCCATGGTTGATCCGGGATTGTGGTGTTTCCCATCCACCATGGACATGTATATGCAAACACAATCCGGGACGGATGTCCTGCAATTGCGTCATCATCAAATGAAAGGAGGTGGAATGAAAAGATGTCGTCCGGAACCGTGTTCCAGGTTAGCATGGGATACAACTTAAGGATATAAGCGACAGGGACCGGAAGAACCGATACGATATTCTGTGAAGCTGAGTACTGCAGGAGTGGTGTGACAAAAGTCTGCTCAAATTCTTAGCATTGACCAACAAAGTCATCAGGGCAGTGGTAACATACATTCATCTCCCATTGCAGCCCGGCTTTAAAATACTTTATCCGGTCAGAAGAGACCATTGTTGGCAGCTTCCGTCTGATATTGAGAGATGCATGCATGGACCCGCGATCCAGCCATTGCCAATGTGCAGGAAATAGTTTCAAGGCTCAGCTTCAGGGGTCGGTAATGGCTTCCGGCATTCAGAGTGCCAGAAGTGGATGCAGGAGTTGCAGGCATGGCTAATACAGGACTATGGTGCTGGCAATGCAAGTGAAAGATGGTGAAGATGTGAAGATAAGAATCACTGATGGATGGATACGAAATTCAAACTCCGACATGGGCTGACCCGGACAATTCCCGGGCCTCAATTATGTATGTGGAAAAAGGGACTTCATGAGAAAACAATGTTCATTCATCTCCAGCCTCTATCAACACGTTCTGTAGGTCTTGAAAAGCTGCTGCGCATCCTGTGCAAGCAATGAATACATTCGTGATTGCCTTCCGGCATAGCATCCGTGACCCGGAAGGCGTTTCTCCAATGATTCCTGCATGTGGTCGCCCCATTGGGTTGCTTTCCACAAAAAGAACTTACATGCCCAATCCATCTCCAATTTGACCAATATCATTTCTTCCCTCCATCGATCTCATATTGCCTTTGCCCGCAGCCAATGGACTCGGTAAACTTGGCATGGGTCCAGTCAGGTAACCGTGGGATATGACATGCAAGCAGGAACTCACATTCCTCATTCCACGATTGATCAGGACCCCCGAGGTCGACTTCAACAGACCAAAACCAAGCCAAAGATTCATTTCGTTGACCTCGGGCATTTGGGTCGCCCACTGCAGTGCTGATTTTGAGTTGCTCGCGAAGTAGGGGTTTGTATTTCTGAAGCTGGTCTTGCCCCAGCTCAAGTTTCATCATTTGCTTCCTGGTCTTTGTATATATGCTGGCATGGAGGGAGACTGCCTGCTGCACCAATGTCACCTGGGACCAAGCTCGAGTTTTCAGGGCCTGGGATTTGGCCTGCCTAACGGTTGTTCGGAACAGGATGGCCTTGTTGCAAAGGTAAATGTGGAGATTGTGAAGGGCATCATTGGCCTGCCCTTCCCGAAGAGACATCTCCAGGGGAATCAGATCCTCTGCCATGCATTGTCTGCATCTATCAACCCCCAGGTTTGATGGCAACAGGATTACAGTGAGCTCGGGAGAGTTTGTCCATGTATGAGATGTCTCTGTGAAATCCGCCGGGTCACTCTGGCTAACCATTCTGTCTTCAAATGTGAGGGTGCTGCTTCATCGAGTCTGTCGAATGCCTTTCCACTTTCCGAGATGCCATTCCTTGCCAGCTTGTATTTCCGGCATAGAGTCCTTTTCATGTGAATCATCTTGCAGAAATTGGAGTCATTCATCTGATAATCAAGGCATTCCTTTCGGTGCGGAGATGACATTCCCCGAGCAGCAGGGGAGATCAGATTGAGCCGTGCCCATAGCGTCTCCATGATTTCTCCATCGATCCGACCAATGCCTTCAATAAAGTTAGAAGCATATCGGATATAGCAGCTGTCCTGATGGCCATGAATGTGCCACAACCCAATTCCGGAAATGATGGTTAGTTGCGGTGCCATGTCTAGAAATCGACTTCGATCCACCCGAACCCGAAAGTGTTTGTTGTATTGACAATTAATATCATAGAAGGTGACAGCCCTGGTGATGCCTTCCATGTTGTGCCGGGAAGCCTCGCAAAGGGCGTAGTCCATGTTCATTTGTCTGCAAGTGACCCATGGTTAACTCGTGAATGCGGAATGGTGGATGTGGCTTGCCTTTCGCCTTTCTGAAAATCCACCATGGAGTGAGGGACAAAGCAACCGTGTCTGGCACAGGCAACTCCCCCAATACCGGTGGACTCCAGCTTGTGCCGAGCAGCATTAGCTTGATTTACTGCCCGGTGGTTGTTGCAGCTTGATTTTTCCACCGTGTCAGCAGCCTCTGCCAGATGCATTTTATACCTGTCCTTTCCTACCATGAATCCAAGCCCATCGGATAGCCAAACTTCATCGAATGGCTTAATGGGATGCAGATGTTCGGCTTTGAAATTTCCGTCCATCACAAATGACCGGGTGTATTTCCAGCTTGGATCGCTAGTATTATTATGGAGGCCACATTGGTTGAGAATAGGACTCACTCATCAAGTGATTCATCCTCTGACAACAGCACATTAATCCCTGGCTGAGGACACGCCGGGCAAAATAATGCGAGTTCTCCTGTGCTCGGGTTATCAGAACGATGGCCAAAGCCATGCCATTTCATTGTCTTCAACTGCCTCCACTGTCGAGCAACCCTCATGAGCTCTCTGTATCGGTCCTTGCAATGTGCTTTGTCAATATGATGTCCAGTAGATGAAGAGGGTAAGGCATTACCAGAACAAGGTGTGGAAACATGCTGGAGGTCATTCGCCGGAGCTTGCTGTAATAGTTCATCGCCGAGGTGCCGCATTCAAGGCTGTCCAGTAGAAAATCATTGAGCACTCTGAAGGTGAACACAGTCTTTGGCCTGTTGAAAGATGCAGGGAAAAATCTGTGTCGAAACATTTGAATGTCCGGACTCATGGCATTCGGACATTCACAACATCGAATCTCCAGGCGATGAACTCCGGACTTGTCTACAATGACCATGGTGTTTTCCTTTGGCTGGAACTCGGGTCCGGACACAAATGGCAGATCTTCAGGCTCGAGCAGGTCTTCAGGTTCATCTTCTTCAAACAAATTCCACCGATCAGTGACCTCCGGACATTGTTTGCCATCATGGCCAAGGTGTATAATGAGTCCCACATGAGCGAGACAACTCCGCTCGAAGAATCGCCCATTCCATTGACTGATCCAGTGGAAAGGATTGCTACGATGTTGACTCCTGCAACAGCCCGTGCAATAGAGTGGCTCGCCAAGACAATCTTGACATTTGTACACCCCATCCTGTTCACAGATGATGCATCTCCTGTCTTCTGGTGGAGCTTCTCGATCAAGGAGGTGATGTAGATATGATTCCTGCCTTGGCAGCCATTGCCTGAGGTAGTCATTTTGACTCTGTATTTTTGAATGCTTAGCCATAGTTTGAATGACACTCCAACATTGTACATGAACTTGCCATGGTTTTTGGGAGTTGCAAAGGCTCAAAGGAGCCTTGGTCCTGCTCATAAGTATTGTCAGGAAAGTCTTCCCAAGGAGGTGGTGCCTCAACAGGCTGAATTGTTGGTGATTCTGGGGGAGAGTTAGGCATGGACCTGTAGGCATGTCGCCTCGTGCTTGCAAGTGGGACCTTGACCCAAGTCTTCCTACCTTTGCTGCCCCTTGCTTCCACCCTGTGAGATTTTTGCACTGGGGTGCATCTACCTATCTTCATCTTGTTTACTAATGTTGCAAGCAAGGCATCAGCTCAGGTGTAATGAATTGTTATTGCAATATGATGCTGTGCAGTCCTGTTGGCTTATTACAAATTCATTTCCATTAATGGCTTCATGGTCCAATATGGGCCTGATTAACCTATCATTAGGCTTTGCTTCAAGTTCAACTTCGCACAATTCATTAATACTTCCTACCTTGCAAATCCTCAGCCCTTTCTGCATGCTGATTCACTATGGCAAGAACAGGTCATTCCACCAACACGACTTCCGGAAGACACAGGATGCGTCAACCACAGTCTCAGAAGCTCACAGGACAAGGAGATTTTGGAGTTGAAGAACTACCTTCCTGAGTGGACTGCTGCCAAAAGGAGTGAGAAGCGAGCGATTTTCACTGCCATAGCAAGGGCGGCCAGGTTGTTTGCTCCTAAGTTGGACCAAAAACAATGGAAAAAGAGGAAGCAGGTGAGGCTTCTTTGTTGTGTTGAAAAACTAAATTTTTAACGTCACATTCTTTCATCAACTCTTAGGTGTACAAGACTTGGTTGTTCAACAACAAGAAAAAGAAGGAAAGGAAGGACATGATCAAGTATGGGAGGAAATGGACGCCCAGGATGGTGGTCTACCAGCAGAAACACGAAGAGGTGCTGAAGAGGATTGAGGACGAGTCCGGGGTAAAGCCAGGAGATCCTGGTATGTTCAAACATTATCAGGCGGCGGTGAAGAGAGTCATGGCTGAATTGGACGACGACGAGTTGGAGAAGGCTAAAGAAACAGCTAAAGAGTGGTCCAACAACTGTCCGCCTCCGGAGATACAAGCACAAGTCGCTCGTAAGAAGGGTCCGGCATATATGGAGCACTTTTCGAACGAGATGTGGAGGCAATGTGGGATGAGAGTGTTTGTGATGTCGGCTTGGAAAAATGAAAAGGGCGAGGTGCTGTTCGGGATGTGAGTACATTTATCCATTGACGGAGATCTTTTGTCTCAAAATATTCATGCAGGCATGATGATAATGAGGCCTTAGGAGATGGGGACAGCTTCATGAAGACAAAGGACTGGGAGGACATTGAGCCAGTGTGGCAGGAGTACGTGCAGGAACAGTTCGGTGAGTGTGTGAACCATATATACCAGATTGAACATGTTGAGCATCATAATGATAGGCGCCGGGGCACGGGATGGAGGACGTCAGGTCAAGGGAGGTCGAAAACAAATTCGAAAACCAGCCTTCGAACTTGAAATGGACGGGGAGGGTATGCCACTCCTTCCGGACATCACCGACACCAAACTGGAGGAGAAGAAGGCCATAGTAAGGGCCTTTCTTACATCGCACTATCGTGAGTTTGTTGTCGCATCACCTGACAAATTGTTCAATTCATGAACAAAGGGATATGCTCCGGGAAGGACAAGGCGGTTGTGCCATGGAGTGCCATTGTACAAAGTCAGGATGACTTCGTGGCCCGGACGTATCTTCCGGCGGATGTTGACTTGAAGGAACCTTCGAAGCTGCAAATTTGGGACACCACTACCTTGCTCCAGTTCTGGCTCGCTCAGCAAGAAACAGGCGAAGGGCCCACATTTCTGTTCAAAGCATGGAAGAACAAAGATGGGGACATGGTACCATCTGTCATATCTGGCAACTCGCCCTCTCCTCAGACTCGTATAGTGAGAAGGCAACAGAGGGTTACCATCCGAAGGCCTCGGGAGTCATCGACAGAAGCCGAGAGTGATAAGGAGAGTGCCACTCATCATATGGAGCATAATTTGGATGATGACCTGGCTGACGGGAGACCTCCGCTGAAGAAGCCCAGGACGGGAGGTCCTACACCCAGAGGGCCGGCAGTCCCACATTCAATTCCAAAGCCTCGCCCGGCCAAGCCGGCCAAAAAAGGTGCATTACTGACATCACGAATGGGAGACCTCCTTGCTGGGTTAACTGACGACGCGACGGGTGAGGTTAGAGATGATGTTGAAATGGAAGAGAGTATCACGCCGCCGGCACAGAAAAGGAGGCGGGGCACTCGAGTCACTGTTGAACCATCCACGAGGATGACCCGGAGTAAGTTGCAAATGCCAGTAGACAGTACACCTAGAGTAACCAGAGCACGGGGACGCACTTAATGTACATATATCTTCCTGCCCTCATGTGTAATGTCATAAGTGCTATTATGTATATGTCAGAGTACTAACAATCAAATTGTAATTGCCAAATGCCAAATCTCGAGTACCAAGGCCCGAGTACCGAATCCCAAATACCGAAGCCCGAACGCCGGTCACCGAGTACCAAGGCCCGAGTACCGAACACCGAGTACCGAGCCCCGAGTACCGAGCCCCGAGTACCAAGCACCGGCTACCGAGCCCCGACTGCCGAGCCCCAACTACCGAGCCCCGAGTACCGAGCCCCGAGTACCGAGCACTGAAAACCTGGCAGCGAGTACTGGGTAGGTAGAGTATACAACTACCAAGGACTACCTACTGAGTAGTACTGCAATGTGTCTACTATCAGACATTGATCCATATTTACACGTTACTTGAGTCCTCAAAGGCCTCAATGAGGGTATCTAATACCTTCAGCATTTCGGAGGTTGACTCCCTTACCCTTTGCATCCTCCGGAGGTCTGCATCTGCTTTTCGCAGCTTGTCGCATGTTTCAGCCCATGCCACCCTGAATGGTCTGTCAGCCTCAAGAATTTGGGCTACTGTAGGGGCAGGAAGATTTCCATGACGCTGTTCATAATCTCCCAGGCGATCTACAATTGATTGAACTTGCAGGATATTAGCAGAGATAAATAATCAACTGTTGTATACTTACTTTCAGCTTGATCATAAGATCCGATTGGCATGAACTCCTGAACCATGGCACGCAGTGCTTCATTGTTGAGTTCCGGCCCGGGCGATTGACGTTCGGGAGTTTCTGACATAGCTTAGGAGATAGCATGAGTAAAGCACATGAAATGATATGAATATACCTACAAGGTATGGGTGCACCTGGTACACCTGGAGTGGCCGGATGGGCCTCCGGAGTTGATTCATTGACTGGGGAAATGCCATGAAAGGTGACCATGGGATTGAAAAAGTAGTCTCACCAGCCATAGGAAAATCGGGTACAACCGGAGCATCATCAGACGAAATCAAGGTATCCTCTGGACCAAGATACAAGTCCGGGTCATCGTACAGGGCCAGTCCATCTGCCAGAGCCGGAGATGATGGATCTGGAGATATGTGATGAATTTGCACATGTAAAATATGTACATATAGATTGAGAGACATACCGGGAATCGCATTTAACGAATCCACACCACCGGAAGACCCAGAATCAGAGTCTAACTCATCATCCGGTCCAAGGTATATATCATCTAATGGATCTGAACCATGTCAGATCAATTGACTGAAATCAGAAAAAACAAAACATACCAAGGGACATCCGGGACTGGGAGGACTCATCCACATCCATTGAAGTAAATTCAGTGACCGGAGGGTCATGAAATCTGACCCCAGGTTGAGAGCTCATGATATCTGATGAGCTGATGCACTGATGAACTGATTGATAACTGATAACGTCGAAGTTCAACACATGGCCGGCGATTGCCGAAAGTTGAACCATGACCAAAGAAACACAAACAATCAATGAATTTTCAACAGCGTCCTTCAATTGTATTGTTTCTTTGAAACTTCATTCTATTGATAACAGATTTCACCCTGCTTTCAACACTCTCACATCTGTCAACTCCATCCAAATGTCTACTCAAGTTCAATCTTCATTGGCCAACCTCAAGGCATCCACTGCTCAACTTGTGGGCATCATTGCCGGCGCCCGGCACATCCCGGCCGGCTCTGTGGACGTCCACCTTGTTCTAACAAAGCAGGTCACCACTCTTTTGGTATGTTGAACTTATTAAATTAGTGTAACATTAATGTTTGTAATGTCCGGGTAGGCTGACATCATCCGGGCCCATGAGAAAGGGGAGTACATCCCTGGAATTGTGGTGTCCTGCTCTAAGGAGCTGATGAGGGTGCGTTCCATGACTCCCCGGGCATTGCCCAACTGGCACAGCATTGGCCATGATGACCCCCGGGTGGCTAGACACGCCTGGCGCAAGCAAGTCCGTGCCTGGGAGGCGTTGGGTGACAATTCCTGTGATCTCCCTGTTGTCCCTAACGTTTCCACTGGCCCACTCACTCTCAACCTTCCGTCTCCACCTGTCCCTTCACCTGCACCTGTCCCTTCCCCCACCCCCGTCATTCCCTCACCTCCGGTCATTGCCGGACCTTCCGGCAAGACGACCCCTGAGGTCCGGGACAAAGGAAAAGGTAAGGCCATCTCTGTCGACCTGTCGCCGGAAGTTGGGGGGAGCAACAAGAGGAAGTCTCCAATGATTTCTGGACACTCCTCCCAACCTCCAAAGTCGGCGCTGAAGGCTCGCAAGCGTGCCAAACCAACTGAACTCCCCAAGTCGAAGCCGTTTGTGGAGTCGGAAGATGATGAAGACCCAATTGTTCAGGTATGTGTTCTGGCTGATTTCTGACATGCTCTCAATTTGTTGCAGCCGATTTTGCGTGGAGTGCCGGAGGTCGTCCTTCCCCAGCGCACCATTGTGGTAAGGAAGCCCCAGTTGCCTCGGTCACCCGGTTCCCCCAAGAAGCAATCATTTGGGCCTGCTTCGGTAAGTTTGCATTTTTCGTTTGGACTTTAAATATATGCTCATGTGTCCACAGCTGACTGCCGGCAGTCGTCCGGAGGTTACGGTGAGTCGTTTGGACATGTCCGGACCTCCCATGTATAATTCCCACTCATTCCCATTACATTAGAAATCTCCCATCAGTCGTCCGGAGGCTCAGGTAAGTCTTAGAAGTTTTCCAGAAACTCATATGTGTATTAACAATCTGTCAGGCAACCTCCGGCAGTCGTCCGGAAGTTGAGGAGGAGTCCTCCGATGATACTTCCAGTGCTTCGGATGGTGACCCGCCAGCCACTACCACATTTGACATCACCATTCCCGGCCCAGTGAGTACTCAAATAAATTCCCCTTAGTCCATCTACTAACGGATACTACAGAACAACCCCTGCCATTATTGTGTGAAGGAAAATTGGCCCTGTGCGACTCGATTGGACAAGAGGTCCAGCCTCCCCTGCTTGTCTTGCATCCGCTGCTCCACCAAGAAGATCAAATGCAACCCTGCATCTCTGGGATCCCCGCCCAAACGGACCTGAGGGAAGTCTACCACCGGCCGGACGCGTTCCAAGACACCCGCCCCTGCTCCATCCAATGCTCCATCTCCCTCCCGGTCAAGGGCCCGAACTCGTAGTCAATCTTGTGGCCCTTCCCGAACTCCGGCCATCCCTGCTGCAACTACACCCCAGGTGCAGTCACGTGGTCGCAGCAAGACCATCACTACCAAGAAGACACCTGCACCTGCACCTGCACCTGCACCTGCACCTGCACCTGCACCTGCACCTGCACCTGCACCTGCACCTGCACCTGTTCCTGCACCTGTCCCTGCACCTGCGCCAGCTGGTAAGTCACCCATACTTTTGATGACCGGCTGACCTAATTTTTTACTTAGCAGTCAGGTCTTCCAGCGTCGCAGTGCCTCGTGCAGCACTCAATGTTCCCATGCCGGATCTCCATTCCATGGCCATCGCGATTCGGGATGGTGCAGCTCGCATCGCTATTCTTGAGGCTCGGGTGCAGGAGCAGGACGCTAAGATTGATACCCTGCAACGCCTCCATGAGAGCCTCCGGCGCACAGTGGTCGACCGGCACCCTTCATTTTCACTTCCGGACACACCGGCCGATGGATTAATGTTGCTTGATCAAGGAGGTCCCCCCCGTCCATGTCACCCCTCCCCTCCGCACTTTCCAACCTCATTGATTTGGACTTTTCAGTCATGCAACCTACACCCTTGACGCCTGAGCATGGATCTGCTGTGGTAGGTCCCATGGTTGAGCCCATCCAAGTTCAGCCTGAGGGTCCACAATCCTCCGGTGAAATTGTTCTCCCTGATGAACCAGGCAACCTCCTGCCAGAATTCCCCGGCGATATTGTGGTCCCTAATGAACCAGGTAACCTCCTGCCAGAATATGATTCTTCTGATGAGGAGATGGATGTTGAGGGAAAGGTTGATCTTCCTGGTGAGGAGGTTGACATGGCTACATAATTGCTCAGTGATAGATGTACATAAATGTTTTTCCATGCATGTTACCTATGCCACAATTGAATAATTCCATGATGACTCCCGATATCCAGAACTTGAAACTGCAGATTGAGGTAGATATCACCCGAAACCCGAACACCCGAATGTCAAATTATCAGTGCCGAACCCCGAGTCCCGGGTGCCGGTTACCGAGTCCCGACACCCGGAACTCAGGATTTGACATTTTAGACGAACAACATCTTCCAGACATGTTTAAATCAACCTATGTATATCTGTAAACATTTTACTAACCCCCACACCCCAAACCGAGATGTACCAACCCCCGAAACCCGAGACTGCCGGGTCTCGGGTATCGGGTGTCCGGAACTCGGAACTTGGGACAATTTGGGGAGATCAATTCAATTTGATTCACAATCGAGTTGATTGAGAACACATTGACTTACCCATGTTTGCAATATATTTTTGTTTAGACATACCGAGTTCCGAGTTCCGGACACTCGATACCCGAAACCCGAGACTGCCGGGTTTCGGGTTTCGGGGTTCGGAACTTGGGACAATTTGGGGAGATCAATTCAATTTGATTCACAATCGAGTTGATTGAGAACACATTGACTTACCCATGTTTGCAATATATTTTTGTTTAGACATACCGAGTTCCGAGTTCCGGACACCCGATACCCAAAACCCGAGACTGCCGGGTTTCGGGTTTCGGGTGTCCGGAACTCGGAACTCGGTATGTCTAAACAAAAATATATTGCAAACATGGGTAAGTCAATGTGTTGTCAATCAACTCAATTGTAAATTAAATTGTATTCATCTCCCCAAATTGTCCCAAGTTCCGAGTTCCGGACACCCGATACCTGAGACCCGGCAGTCTCGGGTTTCGGGTATCGGGTGTCCGGAACTCGGAACTCGGTATGTCTAAACAAAAATATATTGCAAACATGGGTAAGTCAATGTGTTCTCAATCAACTCGATTGTGAATCAAATTGAATTGATCTCCCCAAATTGTCCCAAGTTCCGAGTTCCGGACACCCAAAACCCGAGACCCGGCAGTCTCGGGTTTCGGGTTTCGGGGTTCGGGGGTTGGTACATCTCGGTTTGGGGTTTGGCACTGAAAATTTGACATATATATTTTTGTGAGTGTTGTGCTTCTGGTGTTCATGCTTAGAAAATAGGATTTGTTGCACACCAGGGTTCAGGTGTGGGGTTTTTCCACTTCAGTCCTGGATTATTGGTCAATGCCACACATGGTCGATTCATGTTTTTGTGCTTAGGGGTTTAGATTTGGTGGTCAATGGTAGGTATATGCACTCATAGTGTACATGTATCCTATGTGTTTGATTCGCTGGTGGCTACAGTAGCTGTATGTCTTGATGGAACATATCTAGGCTCACCCATATATGTAATACACCCCCGTCTATGTATTATCCCCCACGTCGGCCCACCCGTCTATGTAATACATCCTATGTTGGCCCACCCGTCTATATAATACATCCTGCATCGGCCCACCCGTCTATATAATTATACCCCACCTTGGCCCACCTGTCTATGTAATAAATATTTTATCGCACCCTCGGCCCACCGGTCTATTTGATATCCCTTTCGTCGGCCCACCCGTATATGTAATACATTCCACGTCGGCCCACCTGTATATGGAATACACCCTACGTCAGCCCACCCGTCTATGTAATATTCCCCTACCTCGGCCCACCCATATATGTAATACACCCATGTCAGCCCGCCCGTCTATATAACAATATTTGCCTTACATCTCTCTTCAGCCCAGCTGTCTATAATATCCTACTCTACATATTACCCAGATGGGCCCACCCATCTCCATGAATGATCATATTCCCCCGGCCCATCTGTCAACATTAAGGATATATATATCATTGGCATACATGGGCCCACCCGTCTCCATCGGAAATAATATGTGTCCCGGCCCATCTGTCATCATCGAGAATATACACAACATGGGCCCATGATCGGCTGGCCCATCTCATACGGGATATTATGGAGGTCGGGTGGCCCGTATAATACGGAATTTGTCACTGAAGGGGCTCCAACAAGCTAGCGGATGGTACCATGTCGTCATTGTCCCACACTCTTGTAACGAACGCAGCTCGGTCCAGAACAAACTAACGTCGCAAGGCCTTATATAGCATCAGAGTTTATCAAGACTTCATGGAGAATAGACTGACTAACCCACCTTACACCTAATGACCATACCTTGGCAGTGAGCTGGCAGATAGTATCACATCGTCATCGCCCCGCATCCTTGCACCAAAGGGAACTCGAACCAGAACACACTAATGTCACAAGACCTTATCTAGTGCCAGAGATTATCAAGAGTTTGTAGAGAACAGAATGACAGACTCACCTTGGACCTAACGACCATATCTCAGCAGTAAGCTGGCGGATGGTATCATGTCGTCATTGCCCCACATCCTTGCACCGAAGGGAGCTCGATCCAGAACATGCTAATGTCGCAAGACCTTATCTAGCACCAGAGTGCATCAACAGTTTGTGGAGAATGGACTGACTGACTCACCTTGCACCTAACGACCATATCTCGGCAGTGAGCTGGCAGATGATACCGCATCGTCATCGCCCCGCATCCATGTACTGAAGGGAACTCAGTCCAGAACACGCTAACGTCACAAGACCTTATCTACTGCCAGAGTTTATTAAGATTTTGTGGAGAATGGACTGACTGACTCACCTTGCACCTCACGACCATACCTTAGCAGTAAGCTGGCGGATAGTACCGCATCGTCATCGTTCCGCATCCTTGTACCAAAGGGAACTTGGTCCAAAACAAACCAACGTTGCAAGACTTTACCTAACGCCAACATCAAGGGAGGATTTGTCGAAGTTCCATTGAAAAGCATAGGTTGCATGTGATAAGCGGATTGAAACTGCATTATAATCGCTTTACACATTTGGGCCGTTGGCAGCTTTGATCCAAAGCAGTCCGGCCATATAAAAAATTATCTGATGTTAGCATTCATCTAGAGATTGCGCAACAGCCAAAGGTCACATACCACGACCAGGGCATGGCAGAATGATAGTGTATCACCGCTAGTGCTCAACTAGGTGACTGTGGTGACTTTGGGCAACTTAATAATTCATTCTCACGGCTGGTGGGTATTGCAATCTGTTGACAAAATGGCAGATAATTGCAACGAGACTGCACAAATGTGCATTTGGTGGTTTCTATCCAACGTAGTCCGGGTATTCAAAGCTCTGTCATTTGAAGTACAATTGTGATATATATTGTACGAATTTTACTTTAAATAAACCTTTCTAACACTTTACCATTTTCGCGTCGCTTTCCTGATGCAGATGCAGAAACTAAACAAAAAGGCATTGGGTAAGGTTCGCAAGGAAGCCGACCTGCCCACTACATACCCCACGGCAGGCCCCTCCTCGTTGACCACTGACGAGCCTATGGCCGAATGGAGCGAGGAACAGTTGTCGAGGGAGACGGAGGTCTCCCTGGAGGGGGAGATGTAACGGAGTTACTTTCAACCGAGTACCATCCTCGTGATTCCTGTTTCTGTGCCTTTACTCAAGCGGTTTTGCAAACATTTATTCCTATAGCTACGATTACTTTACAGTGGGCCTTCGGCCGAGATCCTAGCCTTCCGTGTTCTCCCCTCCGTGTCTACCTATCCGTTTCACTCCGAGAGCCTTAGTATAAATACTGCGTAGTTAGTAGTTTTAGATCAGCGTTTTCTGGAATAAGGAATAGCAGACTTTGAAACTGTCATCCTACCGAAGACTCTCTTCTCCTGTGCCGTTGACTTCGAGCTGCGTCAGCACGTCGCTAAATAGCCAACGTCATACATGACTTTGCGATCGGGCCTTGGTAACAACGGGACAAGCCTAGTTTTCCGTATATCCGGGCTCATGGTGCCAAGGTACCTGCAATTCCAATCGGGTTAAGTGATGCGGCTACCAATGAGAAATTCATGTTACCTCAGAGATTCGTGGCACCAAGATTGGTTTCCTCGAACCCATATTGCTGTCCGGTCAAGATACTCTTTGACTAGGACATCAACGGAAGGTCCCCACGAAGGAACTTTCGCAAGACCATCGATGAATCGTTTCTGAACTTCGGTGTGATAGTGCGCTGCCCAGGCCATTGCACCGCTCACGTCAAGGCCGAGGTCAAACATGATGACACTGATAATGTTATGGCCTTCATCCCTAACTGCTTGCTCTTTGTTATATGAAAACATGTCCTGTTGAAGATCGTGAGCATACTACAAACCAAGACGTCCTCCATACCGATTTACATTGTCGATCAGAGCTAAATCTGTGATGCATTCAGCAAGATCCATGATGACGGGGTGGTTGAGCACTTCATCAGGAAGGTTGATTCCCATCTGCAATATTAGGAAAGTAGGTTGTACGCCAATAGTTTTGCGCCGGAGCTTGAGGTAGTCATCGAGACTGCGCCAATGATCTTGTCCACGGTCAAGAGCCTCGTCAATCATTGAATAAAAGTATGCAGAAGAGATCTCAAGGAAGCGACGTTGAGAAGACAAGCTTGCAGATTTGATCGCGCGAGCCCAAAATCTATGCAAAACCCCTTGAACTTCAGGTGATCGTCAAACAATTCAGAAGCACTTACTGTCGCGCAATTTCGCCCAGAATGCATTCGTCTTCTGGTCGTTTCTTATGAGGATTTTGTAGGGCATCGACCACGATGTCCGCCATTTCTTTCGCGAGTGCCTCATTTTTGAAGTCGGTGTACTCGTCGTAAATGAAAAAGAAATTTATCAAATCACAGGCAATTCGAAAGTGTTCTATTTTTTTCAGAAACGGAATCAGGGTCATGTGGTGCGTTAATGGCGAGAGTACGAACCTCTTGGTGCCTTGGGATAAAGTAGTGCTGTTAGGAGGGCTATAAGAAAAATATGTGTTCAATCATCGTCTGAATCTAGGGCTCGTGACATAGGTCGAACCAAAATCACACTTGTCGAATGCTTCTTGTGACTTGAGACTCAGGGCCTTGAAATCACGGAATGAAGCATCGGCTTCAGCTTTCACATCTTCGTAATGAGGATTGATGGTACGAGGCCAGGGCCAGTTAACCATAGTGTCTGGGAGGTATATCGTCTTTGGGCGAGTATCCATGACTTTCGAAATATAATTTCTGATGAGGAGTGCAAAAGTTGAAAGAGGGGCGAATTGTCGTTGGTCCAGTCCAGAGCTTCCCGCAGAACTTATATACGTGCCCAGGTCACAATCGACCTATTTCACATATACATCTGCAATAAATAAATAAGATATATTTTGCTTATCCGACGACAGCAGGTGACCGTGATTCTGTCAGCGTCAGGCCGTAAAGGTAGGGTCAGCCTTGTGAAGAATAAGAAAAATTGGTTAGCCAACATGTCTTCCCTGCATCGTCTTTGTCGTGCAGCTTCTTTTTGAGCTAACGGCTTCCGCTTTGATAAAAGTTCGATGAAGTACACAGCCGATCTGGCTTGTCTTCTTGATAGTATCGGGAATAGGCCTGAATGAACTTCCTATTTCAAAGAGCACATATGCTTATCGTTAAGTCGTTGTGTCACATAAGTTCACAGGGGTAGGGTCAGTCTTACGAACCGAGACCTTCGTTGGACAGACGCTGACTGTAGTGCAACCTAGATTTGACTTTCCGAGAGCTCTCTGAAACGGTTACGAGATACCTACGCCGGTCAAATCCTGAACCCAGACACCGGCCGGCCGTCGGTCGGTACTACGTAGCCACGCTGGCCATGGCGTCAGGAAGGCAGATCAGTATCACTGGATAGGACCGGTATGTTTCTATGATGTCCTCGGGATAATATTTGTGAAGGCTGTGGTGACCTTATCTATTCTTATCCGTAGCGCCCGCTCCGTCACAGCTTTGCATTACATGCAATGCGGCGGTAGAAGTTTCGACGCCACAACGGATTTTGAGCTGTATTTTAATGGAATCGGAGTTCCATGACTCGCTAAGGGTCAGGTGCGAACCCTGATAACGATAACAAGGAGGATGAGATCAGTCAAGAGAACGAATGAGAATAATGGTCGGCCACGCACCCATGCTCCTCAAAAATCAAGGTTGAAAACTATACCTGTAGTTATCCGAACCAGACGCCTCAGCGGTCACACCGATAATCGAATTGAGTCACCGACTGAAGTCCTCCAGAAATGACGTTGGACTGCTGACGTAGAAGAATGAATAGCCCCCTCTCAGATCATATTACGAGTATAGGGGAGCACTCAAGGGAAAAAACCCATTCACCTGCAGACACGCCTTTGGACGCCAATAAATCAGTCTGGCGCAAATCGCGCTGAAAGTTCGGTAGTAGTATGCGGTTGGGTCAGGGTACCGGTAATGCATCGGGAATAGGCTTCCAGTTTCATTCAAGAAACAGCGCGATAGACCAAGTCATACACGAACATGTCATTAGTGTTCAAGCTCTGCAGGAGAAACAGGCTTCGATCAATGACAGTAGTACTGTGTATAACGACATCAGCAAAAAGTTCTGATACTGACCTAAATGTAACATCATTACCTGTCCATATATATCGTGCCAAACAATGAGTATGAAGTCTACATGTGATGTAAATGTCCAGTCCAATTACAAACCATAATAATCCATTAAATGTCAATCAAATGGGACCATCCTCTACGACCCCCAGAAACCAGACCTAGGGAATCATAGGTCAACTCCAATCAATCCCAAACGCGGCGAAGGGTAGTGAACCCAGAGAGCAGCATTATAATAATCATTGCGACAGCACCGGGAAGAGCCGAGTTTATTTTGAGCTGGGGTAACGCTCCTGAGCATCCGGCACATTGCCACCCTAAGTGTATTCAAAAATAAGATACACGGCCAGCATGGGCGAACCTAGACTTACCACTAGATAAAGGTGTGTATCCCTGTGGCGTATACATAGCGAACACAAGCTCGCTGTTTGGCTCCAGATAACCAGGCGTGGGGAATGCGCTAGGGCCACCCTGGGCCCAAATATGAAGCGTGTAGCTTGCCTGAACCAGTGGAAGGCTAGGGTTTGCGGTCTGATAGCCATATGGATACCAGACCACGCTCTGAGCGGTCCCAGAAATGACACCATCGGTGGGGCCTATAGGGTATGTGTTCCCGTTTGCAACTGCTGCAACAGTGAGGGCGGTGGGTGTCACAATGATGCTCGAAAAGTTCCACCCAAACGTAACATATTCACTGGGAGCAATTTTGTAGTAGGAGTTAGATTGAATGGGAGGCATGGTTATAGTGATTGATCCAGCTTGAGCTCCTGTCGGGACTGTTGGCAATGGGGTACTCCCATTTACGAGGGATGCCGAGCCAGAGATTGATGCTGAAGAGGAAGCTGAAACTGAAGCGTTTCCATTCTGTTGTCTGCGCTGCAGATCAAGCTGACGATCCATGGCTTGTTGTGCTCAAAGGAAGAAGAGCGTCTATGAGGTAGGCGGGACGACTAGCGGAAGGAGTGTGGAATGGAGAGAGTAACTAGTAGTGCAACCGTGCACCTTGAGAGAGCATGACTTTGTCACACGGAATGCGTCCTAGTCCCATGCAGGGCTTGTTTTAGACTCTGCCGCAGTCGTTGTTTTCCACGGGACGTGACTGGCGTCCCCAGAAGAGCTATATCAAGCACTGCAGTCACAGCCCTCAGCCTGCCCACAACAAGGCGCTGACTTGGTCCCAAAATAGGATGGAGCTGAAACGATGCCAGTGAGACCACGTCGAAATTGTGAACAAACTGAATCGTCCGCGTCGGCGAAAGAGTTCGCGATCACATTTTCAGATACTGAAGCAAGGCTTCGTCTGGAGAATGTCGACGCCAAACTCGTAGTTAACCAGAAAACCACAGCTAAACTTTGTGATTTGCATCGCAAAGCTGTCATGTTAGATCTGTCATGATGAGGTCGGTGTGACTTGGTTGTCAGGTCTGTAGTAAGTAATAGCCGAGCTCCGATCACAGAGTCCCACGTATGTGATGACAAAATGATCTAATTCAGGAAGGTAACTATAATTAGTACTACATAGCCCAAAATAACCCAAAAACTTCACATCAAGCTGCTTGATGGGCCGGTGGCATTTCCAAGGTGAACCGCGAGTGAGTCCAGTCAATGCACCTCTTAGCTAAGAAATTGAAGTGTCGACAGACACGTTACTATTGTAGGTCCAAATGCCTCTGGAGTCTGTAGGGAGAACTCGCATTTGGTGATGTAAATGTTATCCTAGCCCGCCGGTATTCGTGTCTTTCCCCTGGTAAGCTGCTCATAGCCTCGACGTTGATGGTGTTTGATCGTCAGGCTGCTAGCATCTCTTCCGACATCACCGATCACCTTTGGCTCATGTATGTTTACGACGCTGTTGCACTATTCGTCTGGTAATATGGCATCGCGACCTGCCGCTGTGTTTTACGAGCTATTTCTCTAAGAATGCTAAGTTAAGTATCCAGTAACATGCACTGGGTCGATATACATCACGTTGGATCATTTTCGTATCCAAATCTATGCACCTTGAAGTATCCAGCGAGGAAAACTCTACTTCGGTTCACTATCTTCCACAGTCTGGTACAAATCCCTAGCAATCCGCAATTGGGCCGCTCTACCCGTTTCGTTGGGAGTGTCCGGAATAGCACGGATGATCAAATACTTGCGACCTGTCAAGACCTCTGGCGTGACCTTGAAAGGATCAATGCTAGAGCCAGCAGATGTTGCGGCGGCCAGAGCTGCATGAGACCCAACTACTGCACCACCCGCTTCTTGGGCAATGATGATACCGGCCTTGTAGAAACAGGTGAGGTGAAGGTATCGAGCATATACAACAGGTCTACTTACGCAGACATCCCATGGCCTTGTCGGGAATCAACGTGATGGTCAACATAAAAGTGTAGCACACTTACCAGCAACCGATTTCCCTATCCACGTTGCGTCAAGGCAACGTGTTTGTGTCATGAAGTGTAATATGTGCAATGATACGGCTCACCAGTACAAATCTAGGCCACCTTGAGCAACCATCGAGATATTAAGCGCTGCACTGCCTAGGGACCGTATGGAATGAGCCATCCGTCCCCCTGCAATGCCATCTGCAGGATCGCCCGCGAGACGCAAGAATGAGTCAGATTTTGGTACCAGGGTCTTTTTGCCACGGTCAGAGCCCCATTCGACAGCTGGGAAAGTAAGTTTGGATATTCTCGTGCATGACGCGTGACGTACCCAGAAGAGCCTTCTGCAAGGAGGGGAGGGGCTTAGGGTTGGTGAGGGGTAATTTCAGAGGTTGGCTATTGCCACGGGTGAGGAATGATCCTTGACCTTCGATCCCGGTGTACTTTGTGTAAGAGTCAGTAGTTGCGTTCAATGTCATAGTATTATACTGCGCACAAGGTGATCTAGGAAGGGGTTGTATATGACACCCAGAACAGGTCGCTTCTGGTAGATCAGCCCGAGAGAAATACAAGCGAATGGGAAGCCGTGGACAAAGTTCGTGGTGCCGTCTGAAAGTCACTGTTAGATCTCAACTAACTCAAATAGCAGATCGTGGCCCACCGATCGGATCAACACAGAATGTCGGCTCATCTGTAAGCTCATTGCGTGTTCCAAAGGAGTATGATTCCTCTCCGATGCTGAAGACATGGATGGATCGATCAGCATCATCCCGTTTCTGCGCGTATTATGGACTCACAATTTGAAACTGGGGTAAGCTTTTGTGATTTCGCTCTTCACGAGCTCCTCGACAGCAACATCGTATTCGGTAACCAAATCGACGGAATTCTTCTTTTCATTGACATCCGAAGTTGACTGAATGGCTTGCGAGCCTTCAAGAATCAATGTACCGGCAGTACGCGCGACCTTGACAGTGAAGGTCAAAATAGAGCGCAGGTCGACGGGCTTCAATGTTTGTGTATTGGCTGACATAGTGGTCGAAAGTAAGTGGAGCAATCGAGCTGAGCTTAGCTGAGTCCACTAGCTAGCCGATTTGCGAGGGCCGAGAACGTTACCTCTAAGAGATCTATTGATATCACTGAGCTTGTAATTAACTAGCAGACCTAGATGCATATGTATCATCTCTGCAGCGACTGATGTTTAACGAAACTAGCTGACGCGACCACGCCACTAAAAACATGCCAAGGTCTTTGCTAGCAACGACGCATTCAAACTCGCAATCCTAAACACTCTTCTGAAAGGGATGAAGGGACCACAGTCATTGAACATGGTAATCATGAACGAAGAGGGTGCTGTGATCAACGTATCTGGAGTAGAAGATGATAAATAACACGGTTTGTAGATGGGCGTGCGTACCTTCTTATATGCTGTATGGAACATACAGCGCAAGATGAGCTTACGAGGACCAAGAGTGGTCACCATCAGAGATACTCGCCTCTCGTAACAAGTTGTTGATTGTAGGAGCTGGGTTGGGTTGGGATATCAGCGCTGTCAGCTGCCACCTGAATATGTCGATGATGTTACGATAATGTTCAGCCGAGCCAAAATAAAGCCTTTTGGATACCCAATAGTTGTCAACGCTAATAGACTGGACAGTAAAGCATAGAAAGGGTAGGCCGGAATCTCAATCATTTTCTCGAGATGCAGGTTAGAGTACAAACCAAAAGCACTGTATCACACAAATCCGCAAATGGAAACTGTTTTCCACACGCCAGCCAGCTTGATCGACGCGCGTCGACAAGTGCACTTAAAGCTGAACCCCTCATACTTCCACTTCTCTGCTACCTGTAAACCATGTTCTTGACGCGTTCCGAGTACGGTATGTTAATTCTGAGGGCCCAACTCCGTCATTTGGTAGATCTCATCGTATTTGCAGATCGTGGTGTCAACACATTCTCCCCAGAAGGTCGACTGTTCCAAGGTGCGTTAGATAACCCGACATTCTGAAATTGTTATTGAAAGGATATAGTCGAATATGCTATCGAAGCTATCAAGGTACGTATGATATCGTGCAACATGGCAGCGTATATCTCATCTTCCTCAGCTCGGATCGACAACAGTTGGCGTACGCACTCCCGACGGCGTAGTCCTCGCAGTTGAGAAGCGCGTCCAATCCCCACTCCTAGAATCAAGCTCCATAGAAAAGATTATGGAAATCGACACCCATCTAGGATGCGCAATGTCAGGCCTCACAGCTGACGCTCGCACAATGATTGACCACGCACGCGTCACCGCCCAGAACCACGCTTTTACTTATGACGAGAAGATTAAAGTGGAGAGTGTCACTCAGGCTGTGTGTGATCTGGCATTGCGATTTGGTGAGAGTGTGCACGACGAAGAGGCGATGATGAGTCGGCCGTTTGGTGTTGCGTTGCTTATTGCTGGTGTCGACGAACTGGGACCACAACTGTGAGTGCAATCGAGTGGATAGCCTTGTTCGACCTGATACTATACGGACCCTTGGTAGATACCACACGGATCCCTCGGGCACCTTCATGCGGTATAATGCAAAAGCCATAGGGTCGGGCTCAGAAGCAGCACAAAGCGAGCTACAAGACAAGTGGCACAAGGTATAATACTCAGTTCTTGACCGTGTTTTTTTTGGTATTCAACCCATAATTGAACAGCAAATGACGTTGCTTGAGGCACAAAAACTGACACTGCGAGTTCTAAAGCAAGTCATGGAGGAGAAACTAGACCACCACAACGTCCAGTTGGCACAGGCATGTGTCTCCTTACGTTCTCTCAAATATTCGTAACTAACTTCGCCACAGGTCACGCCTCAGAAAGGATTTGCGATACTAGATGAAGTACAACTGAAGGAAATTATTGACGCCATGTAATGTTTCAGGTAGATGACGGTATTAATCAAACAGCCTCGAGACGTGTATTTGCTAACATTTAGTGATTGCAAAACCTGGTCAATGTTCAGAGAACTGAGCTATTATTATACGGATGGGAACGGCATATCACTTCAACTTTCTAATCAACTGGAAGGTAGAAAAATGAAAAGACGAGAGCAACACCTGCGAGCGGCAGTACGAAAGCATATATATTGTAGCTTAATCACAACGAAATGCAAGAAGAATTAGGACCAGCTCATGCGGAAGGAGTTGCACATAGTAGTTGTGAGCGCCCGGCGCTGATCTTTGGCAATAACGGGATAAGCCTAGTGTGTTGTATTTTCGGGCCCTTGGTGGCGAAGTACCTGCAATTTCAATCGGGTTAAGTGATGGTTCATACCAACGAGAAAGTCTTATTACCTTTGACTCTCATAACTCCAAGAATAGTTTGCTAGACCCCAGTTTGCTATTCCGTTAAGGTACTCCTTGACTAGGACGTCGATGGAAGGCCCCCACGAAGGAACCTTCGCAAGACCGTCGATAAATCGTTTCTGAACTTCAGCATGATAATGTGCTGCCCAAGCCATCGCGCTGCCTCTGTCGAGGTTCAGTTCCAACATGACAATGTTGATCAAATTATGGAATTCGTGCCCAGCCGCTTGCTCCTTGTTGTACGACATCATGTCCTGTGAAAGATGTTAGCAGACCCCAAACTATGCCGTTCTCAATATCGCTCTAGAGTATCGATGGTCATGAGCTCTGTGATGCAATCAGCAAGATCCATGATGACGGGATGGTAGAACGCTTCATCAAGAAGGTCTATCTCCATCTCTATTATTAGGAGGCAAGGCTTTGCGCCAATAGTTTTGCGCCGGAGCTTCAGGTAGTCATCGAGACTGCGCTTCCGGCCTTGCTCGCGGTCGATGGCCTCGACAAGTACTAAATTAATGTATTCATCGAAGGTTTCAAGGAAGTGACGTTGAGAGGGCAGGCTTGCGAATTGGATCACGTGAGCCCAAAATCTATGCAAAAACCCCTTGGGCTTCAGATGATCGTCAAACAATTCAGAAGCACTTACTGTCGCGTGATTTCACCGAGAATGCATTCGCCTTCTGGTCGTATCTTATGGGGATTTTGTAGGGCATCGAGCACGATATCCACCATTTCCTTCGTGACTCCTTCATTCTCGATGTCGGTGTACTCCTCCACAATGAAGAATAAATTCATCAAGTCACAACCGCTTCGAAGGTGTTCTATTTGTTCAGGAACGGAATCAGGGTTCTGCGATGTGTTAATTGCCAGAGTACGAACCTCTTGGTGCCTTGGGATAAGTCAGTGCTGATAGGCGGGCTATAAAAAATGTGTTAATCATCGTCAGAATTGAGGGCTAAAATATCTTCGTGATGAGGATTGATGGTACGAGGCCAGGGCCAGTTAACCATAGTGTCTGGGAGGTATATCACCTTTGGGCGAGCATCCATACTGTCCGAAATATAGTTTCTGATGAAGAGTGCGAAAGTTGAAAGAGGGACGAATTGGTGCTGATCCAGTCCAGAGCTTCCAGCAGAACTTATATACCTGCCCAAGTCAGAATCAGCCTACTTCACATACACATACATAGTGGTGAATACTCCGGCCATGACATTGCTATACCGTTTTCACCTTAAAAACATACGGTCTATCCTTGTGCAAGATTTCATGTCTTGCCTGGCCGGAGGCTGGCGGCTGTATTGTCTTTTGTCTATTATTCCTAGTACCGCGGAGCTGCTTTTCATTCAAAGCAGATCACGGCAATCTTGCATCCGGCAGAGTGTATTCCCTGCTATATTCAAATTTTCAGCTAAACCACTTCGAGTTGCAGCTGAGGCCCTGAGGTACGATACCAGGGTGTGGGAGGTTGATGCCTGTTGGGATAACATTGGAAATGAAGTCCTAATCGTGTTGACATGATGGCAATCCAGACCTGAGAGTAATCCACTGAACGATGTAGTCACAAACCATGTTCTCGTTTTCAAAAACAAAAAAGTTGAAACTATGCCCACCATTGTCCCGACACCACCTAGTGTAAGGTGGGCAGAACCGGCAAAAATCACCGCGGAAATGCGGATCCTAACACAACGTGTGTAAGGCAACTCTAAGAAGTACCTAGCACTGTGTAAATCCGATGCGGTCGCAAAATTTGGACATTCCCAGTCAGTAACACCAACCTGCCAGGTGCTGCGGATGATGATCATAACGCTGGGATCAGGGATTTAGGGAAGCGGGGAAAACGTCTGAGTTGAGTACAATCGAAATTGAACTTCCGCTAGATATCTAGTTCAAACTCGAACACAACCTATGATACTTGACCGGTGGACTGGTGCGGCTGGCAATGTGCCTGCCTCTGGCAGACGAAACCTGGTGTAGCCCCAACCTAATGATAATGCTACCTACGACAACACCCGAAGGCTCTACGCAAATGGTGGCAAACACCCGCCTGTGCCGCCCCCCGCTGGAGAGGTACTTACTCCACCAGTCCATTGGCGAACCCATGAGGAAGCATATAACTACTAGGTTCGAGTTCGAGTTCAACGGAAATCTGCTCGAACCGGACCGACACTCGCTTTTGCGCTTCTCAAATCCCTCATGTCCTAGCCTACGTGGCGGAATAAGCCTCTCAATGTACAATATCCGAGTCCTCACCCAGTTACTAGAAGTCAACTACGTCAATACTAGGGGACTACTTTCATGAGTATGTCGTTGCCTCGATCAATTCTGCCGCTACTGATTATGTTTCCCTCAGGGTTGAAGATATTCAAGAGTCCCTCCCTGTGTTTCTGCAAATCACTTCTGCATTCTTCGTATCACCTTTCGAAATGCTGGCCTCCCCGACCTTGACCCGTTCACATTCCGAAAGCTGCGAGTTCGAACATTTGGTGGCAGCATCCAACTAAAGGGCTCGGACAAACTATGCATACATTGGAGGATCTCATGCTCTTGATGCTTATGTTCACCACTATACGCAATCTTCTTCCTGGCGCATACGGCGGTGTCGTGGACAAGTACCATGCTGCACTTGTAGCTCTGCTTACGGTACTTGTCTTCATATCATATTCGTGCAATATCACCCTTATGGTTTAACAAATCTGGACCTGCTCATCAACAAATCCGACGACAACACGATCAGTGAGTGCTCTGCACGCAAAAATCATAGGCTCGGAAGGATACGCTCGAATGTACCTCACTGCTTTGTACTATCATAATTTCAATGCAATTTCTCATTACATTGGTACACAACCAGAATGTCTGATTACCTCAAGTTTGAACGAGATTCAAATGCCTCGTCATAGGCAATGTCTGGTCTGTAAGTCGGGGACGGCCCAGCCCGGTCGCCGCGCATAGGTGCGCAGAACGATGTGACTTGGATAGTGTCTGAATGGGAAAATTGACGACGTGTAACGTGTGAGGTAGATGACAATATTAACGCCTTTCTTGGCATCTCGTCGCATTTGGCATTTGGGTGAAGGGTAAGAGTAGTCGAACGTTGTTAATACTGGTATGAAAGATCTAATTAGCGGAAAGGTATGGTAAATCTGGAATACTAAGTCAACAATCGTAATGCTGGGACGCATGGTATACAATCTGAAAGGTCTGAATATGAGATAGAAGAACAGTATTAGAATTCATGGGGGGATGCTTGGAACGAACAATTGCGAATAACAGATGAATAAAGAGAGGGCATAATAGTACGCGGATAATGTAGAAATCCGTCAAAGGAATGATTTTAGACGCCTCGGGGAAAGAGCGGTAAAAGGCGTTACATCAAATGAATGTTTTTCAAGTTTACGGTAATGATGATATCTCGTACTGTAGCAAAGTAGTAAGTAATCAGCCCTTGAAGACAAAACATTACGAACCATTCTGTATGATCGTGGCTGTCCGCCTGGTGTCAGTAACTGACGTAAGATGAACTGTCATGAGGCGTAAGAAGCGAATCCCCTGATGTAAAGGTTTGCCTACTCTTGAACTCCCTCTCTTTATTCGACGAGAATGTTTGGTGAATGCTCCCGAATTTGTTATAAAAGTCTGCACAAAATCAATCACTTCAGAGGTACTCCCATGGCAAAGACCGTTACCACCTACATGAAGATACATTTTCGTAATCATTTGGTCTGTCACCATAGCGCGGCATATGGTGGCTGAGTCGGACACCGCTCTTGAGCTTTGCCTTAAGTATCATCAGCATCATTACCTTGCTTTGCGAACAATGAACAACAGACCTGCAAAAGATCGACCTTGTTCAGGAAAAGAATGATGCTGACGTGCGCCAGTAGTTTGTTTGATACGACAGATTTCCATAACAGCACGGAGTCTTCTAGTCTGTTCACCTCTGGATCCTGCATAATGTATCAGTATGTCACGTAGAGATGAGCAATCACCCGCTGACCTCTGCTAATACCTGATCGAAAGCAGAGATAGGTGCCAGAAAAATAATAGCATTTACTGCATCGTGATATCAATGAATGATCGTCATAAAAACGACTCATAATTACCATCTTCGAAGTAAGGCGCCCAAGCGTGCCGTTGATTTCGGGCACCTCCTACGTCATAAATCTTCCATGGGATTAACCGGCGCTGGGAATCAGCAATTGAAAAGGAGTGTTCTACGACGCCCGTGGTCTTGAGCCGGGCTTTCAAGACATCCTCTAAACAAATATTAGAAATGGCATGTTTTTAGATAGCCAATTGACCTACGGTCGCTCGGAAAATACCGTAGAGCGGTGATACGGGATATTTCGTCCAAAAAGCTGTTTGTTGTCAAGAGAAATCCGATATCAGATACAAAACACTCACAAGCCACTGCCCTCTTCTACTCTGATCCGTTTCTCCCGTAGGCGTTGCTTGACACTGGGGTCCTTCCATAATGCCAGCATCGGCTGAGCGCAAGAATTGAGCACATGAACAGGGTCGCTTGGATCGTCCCACCAGCCCTCAATCTCATTCGTGTGTGCACTCTTAGGACTCTTGATCCTATTGCCAAGGGAAAAGGCCTTTTTCCAGTTCGAGGTATGATGAACGCTAACTTCCACATTCTTTGATTTAGACGAGCTGTTGCTTGACCCACCAGGAGAAGGGAGGCTCGTTGAGGGCGAAAGTGGGGAGGATGTCCGCGAGGGGGGTATGGTAATGAATGGCGCGGGTCGGCCGTTCTTGCCAACAGTAACTTGGGTATTAGAGTTACCGTTTGCATAGATACTCCAATCAGGCCGTGGGGCAGTGTGGGTAGGCTCGTCTTCATTCGGAGATGATAACATTCTGATCAAACGTTCCTCCAGCTCCCTCAGAGGTTCCAATGCATGGCGATATTGGGGGTACTTGAGGACCCTAGTCGCAGAAATGACGGAAGACTGACTAGTAAAGGAGATTGCACGACCAGATACAGTCTCCTGATCCTCTGCTTCGTCTGATTCAGGGGAAACAGCATCAAGGATGCTGGAATTAGATGTTGTTATCACCCATGCTGCTAAATTTGAAGTAGTGACGAGACTCACCGGCGGACGGATCGCACGAGGTTAAGATATATTACAGCTCTCCATGCGATTCGGTCAGCATGGAAGGCAGCAGTCGCATGCATTAATTGAAATTCTGGATGAGATAAGTCAGTGAGGCCCAGACATCCCAATGCGTAAATGCTGAGGAGTGCGGTTTCATGAAACGTATAGTATTGCGCGAACGAAAACCACAATAAAGGTTCTTCTGACCAAGTACACATTCGTGCCAACCCGGTAGTGTATAAGGTCCAGACATGATGTAGTGAAACCAACAACATATCCCCAAACCGTAGCGACGGTTTATTATGCTCGCAGCTCGTTTTCGCACAAAACAATAAAGAAAGGAAGTAGATGAGGAAGACTCACGTTTCAAAGTCGTACTCTTGCCACTCTCGCTCTGCCCCAGAATCAAGACCTTGACTTCAGGTTTGGTCCTCTTCTCTTTCTTCTCTGCACGGAGCATTTCATCGATTCTATCGCTGACCTGCTTGGCCTCTGACTCTGCTTCCAATCTCCTTTCACGATCTGCAGCACTCTCGTTTGGAGGGGGCATGAGCGCAGCAGCCAGTGGATCGGAAAAGGATCGGCGTCGGTTTGGCTCCAGAGGCCGAGCCATTGTCGTGGACTACCACAAGACGGGCACAGAGACAAGGATGGTCTAAAGAGAAAGCCGAAAACGTAATCGTGCTTGAGAAATGGCTTTTATAAGTGCAACAAAGCTAACAAGAGGCTAGGTCGCGACGACAAGCGCTTCCAAAAGAAGGTTCGCACGTGGATATTTTTTCTGAATTCCCTTTATTTTATTTTGTCTTGTCACGCCGTTATATATACGGTTGCCTTAAGCTTTGCTTCCTGAGCGATATTAAGTAAAAACGTCGACTCGGAGCCAGGCCAACGCCTCTTAGTACGCCGCGGAGAGCTACTAGACTCGGGAGGATTGTTATGTTACATATACACTGGAAATGTCCGACCGCCGATGTCACACGTCGGTTTCTTCAAAACTCCCCGACATGTACTTTACGCTTTCCATATGGCGAGCAAGATGATCATTCGTCTGGGAAAAGCCTCCTGCCGAACGAAGGACTGCTACTTCGGGGAGCCATTCTCGGTATCTTTAGAACCATCGCAAGTATCTTCTCTCTATATCGATAACTTATCGCTGCCTTCTAGGGGATGACACTAGCGACTGCGCTTGAACCCAACGTAAAAACATCAGGACCCTCGCCCACTGGCATCCTTCTCACAGCAGAACGACTTCGCGCACTAGTACAGCACAGCAACTGCGCTTGAACCCAACGTAAAAACATCAGGACCCTCGCCCACTGGCATCCTTCTCACAGTAGAACGATATATCAATCGATAATGATTGAACCCGGGCCATTTCAAAACACTACAAAGGGCCTCGGGGCTAGGCTCAATCGGGGTGCACTTTTGTCTAGCTTGCATGGAAGACTGTTCTTCGCGAACTTGATCAGTCACTAGCACCAGCGTAGAGCTTCATTAATACACGGCACTTATGCAATATTTGGTTGAACTCTTATTTTAGTTCATTCTTTCCTTCGCGTGGACGTTGCGGCTTTTCTCTGTGGGTATTTGAAGATCTCATTTGGTCAACCTCAGCTGACAACGAACGACAGTACTTTTCGATAAGCATAATCGATGATAACACCTTCCCAAGCTTCTTGCTCTACTTTAGCATTTTGAAGACAAGCGCATAACTCCTCTTTGACAAGCAGGAATAAGGAATAAGCTTTTGCATGACACATGTTCTGCGTACTAGTGTTCGTTGTGGATGGTTCCCTGGATTGTCCTTGAACGGTGATGTATTGCTGTCCTGCTGTAACATATGCATCATGATGTTGATTACAATCCAAATCACTGCCACAACTTTATTCGCATGCAATTCTCGAGCGTTCCGGCTAGCAATTCATGCCTCAGGCTTCTCCCTTCGAACAAAAATGTTGACTCTCAGACATCTTGGCAGTATCACGTTATACGAACGAGCCGACACTGGTTCTTCCCGTGGGCTAGCCCATCAAACGTTACCGCTCGTCATCAAGGGGTAACACAGATAGCCTACACCGCACTCACTATGTCGCTTGCAAAAGTAGATATTATCCCGCGACTGGACTGATATGGCTTTCGCATCATCGTTCCCATTCTTTTGTATGTCCATTCGAGGGCCCTTTGTTCGTTCTGCGTCTTCTGGAGGTGGCACTTTCAATCCTCTCCCCACGGAAACCTCACCTGCGCCTACAGCTGCAGGATTGCCTAGCCCACCAACCCCAGTCTCGTCCTCCAGCCTCTCATCAGATAGGACCCAAAGCACGAATCAGCAGAGTACACAATTGTCGACAAGTCCATCATCGTTGCCGGCGGTACGGAGTACTCTTTTGTCTTGTAAAACATAAACATATTTTATCACAGACGTCCAGACAAATACCCAGCGCCTCAATAAGCACGCCATTCTCATCATTGTACGTTCCATTATCTTTATCTATCATAGCAATCTGGTGAATTTCTTACATGGGCGCCATAAGGGCACGGTCAGATGGCATATCAGCTAATTATAAGAGGTCAGGGGCGAGCACGGATACGTTAACATCCATTTTGCCTTCTTCACACTCATCGATGAGCACTGGTGGAGGAGCACCGACAAATGGGCCACCGCAAGGTGACGGAATTGCCACTTTAACGCCACCTGTAAGCACGGGCCGGACTTCTCAAAACAGTCCTACTACTTTCGACCCTTCAAATAGTGATTCCACTACGAGCGTCTCGTCAGATACCAGTCCTTCACCTCCTAGTGAGGAATCTTGGCCTAGTCCAAGAGATCTTCCCTCAATAAAACTGCCGAGCTCGCTGCCTTCGGTCATATTTGCCTTGCCTTCATCCACATTCATCCCGCCACCCTTGACTATACCGACTTCGCCACAATTAATGATACCGACTTCGCCAAGTATTAATTTATCCATACTCACTTCGCTACTTTCATCCATATTCAGCTCGCCGCCTTCATCTATACCAACTTCTCTGCCATCCATACCGGAAACATTGACCACGAGAACCTCTTCTCCATCTACAACGTCGGTCACGAATCCTTCCACTCCGGGGCAACAGATATCCAGCCAACAGTCAACTTCCCAAAACGTTACTCCGCAATCCTCGCAGACTAGTTCCTCTGATTCACCAACTCCCACGTTACCAACCACGTTCCCCGGAGGCTCTCCAACAACAGTGCCAGGTGCACAATCTTCCCATATCCCGCAATCTCCGTGCGGAAGTCCTGCGAACACTCCAATTCCGACTGGGAATGGTTTGACAGTCTCATCCACGTATTCACCTACGCCCTCTGGTGGTCCCGCAGGCAACCTGCCTTCCACTACTCTTCACTCACCGTAAGTCATTAGAGCTATGACCGAAATGTGTTGACCTTATTGCGTGATTCTAAGCTTCGCTGGAGTTGCAAAGAATGTCATAAGCACGACATCGCCCATTACACACAGTGGGGATACGTTCTCTTCGATCACCTATACTTCGATTGGTACCTCTACTATTATAACATACTCCTGCTTTGGGTCTACCTCAGCGCTCGTGACCCTGACATCGACTTCGACGTCCGTGATTCGTACTACAACTCCAGTACCAACTTCGGGAACCAGGTACGTCATTTTAATCGTTTTACATTGCATAGAACCCACTGGAATCAAGGTCAAATGAAGCCCTCATCATTGGAGGGGTTGTGGGCGGAGTTCTAGTACTTCTGCTTCTCGGTGTTGCAGTATACTATCTCATTCGCCGCAGGCGGCGTTCGCGGGCCCAGCAGCAACTTTATGCTAGTGATCTGACCGCGCCACTCTCTCCAGCAGAAGCAACGATGATGCGCGAGAATCACCCTTTCAGTCCTACGTATAGCTCTGTCATAGGAGAGCAAGGTGCGAGCGAGAGTCGTGGCGACCTGCACCAGGCCTCGAACTCATTTGGCTCATCGGCCTTCCTTCACCCCTCAATTGCCAGTTCCCCGCATAAATTCTCTCGTAGTTTGTCTGGCTCAGCATTGCACGAGAACTTCGAAAGGGAGTCGAACGATGGGAACATCTCTTCATACAACGAATCAGAAGGCAGTTTTGCGAGCGCACAGAGTTTTTACGCGTCTAGTGATGAGCAATCTAGCTTGAGTCGCGGTATAGGTATCGCGATCGGCTCTCAATCAAGCATGGATCTCCACTCATATCATACCGCCGCTACCATGCTTGACGCGGGGGCCCACGCTATTATGGATAATGATGAAGAATGCTATAGCCCCACACCAAGTCCTTCGGCATTCCCTGTTCCCCCCGTGAACCCGTTCCTTGATGGCGCCGATCCTCGTTATTTTGTGGCCTCTCGTGCACCACAAATCTGTCAAGCGGTCCCAGCTTCATCTGAAAACGCCGCGCAAGCTCCAATGAATATTCGTCAGTTCTCAAAGCTAAAAGCGTCTTGGGCGGTGGCTGTAAGCCCTGTAGATCATGATCTACCCACGCCAAAAGCAATTCGAAGTTCCAATGCGCTTCTAGGTGATGAAGACGACGATGATCCATCAAGTCAGGACCTCCAAACGCCCACGCAGTCCCGTCCCAAAGTCACGCCATTCAATGATTCGTCCTCCATGATCAATCCATTTTTACGTGAAACGTCCCGGCAAAAATTCCGTGATGATTCTGGGGGCAGTCCCGGCAGTGACAGCTACGAGACTGTTTCCATCATATCTCCGTATCCGTTCCATTCCAGGGACAAGGGCAAGGGGAAAGAGTACCTGTCCGCTGATTTGAGGGATGATCCCAAGAATAACAGATTATCGAATGCTAGCTCCGCTCTTGAGTACCCCGAGAATCCAGTAAGTCCTGAAACGGTTTTAGTGAATCTTATTAATTTATTACTGATGCAACGTTATGTTCAGTCGCAGTGTGGTCTTGCACTCTAAGCAGATAACAGGATTTATAAATTATTATTAGTTGATCTAGGCCCTCACTTTTTTAATCCTTGCAGACTAGCCTATTCAGACGCAAAAAAATTCCTCACTGAAGTATTTTACATCATAGCAGCGCTCGGTGCAATTTATTTCTTTGATCAGTGCCATATTTACATGGCTATCATGATAGATGTCGATTCTCATGCACGGGATGATTGCGCGGTTCCCGTAATCATAGTACAAATTGACATAGCCAAACCTTGGCGAATGATTTTCCCATTTGGAAATGTTGGAACGGATGTTGGTTCCAAGATCAATAATTAATCTAACCCATGCGCAGGAAAGCTGATCGGCGAAGTAAACATGATTGTTACATTGTAACCTTCCATTAAGTATAAGGATGCCAAGACGCAATCATGATATCTGTGCATGTGGACATCGTTGCGATTGCAGGGAGCTATAGATCAACAGATGCAAACAAACTCCATCTTCAATAAATTTTAAATTTTCCTCTCCTCACAGCACTAATTTCCGAGTTATGATAGTCTCGAGCGCTCTGGCTTTCTTTTCTTTTCTTCCAGTGGTACCCAACCAGATAATCTGATGGTAGTAAAGTCGATCGTTCCTCGAAACGCGTTCCATCTACAGTTCCCCGTGAGTCGCGAGTATTTTATTTTTCTTTCCCTGCTTCTTTCTCTTGGCTGTGCCGCTGTAATCCCCAATACCTCGACCAACGCACCATTGTGTACAGGCGCCGCATTGCCCATTGCAGCTCCTGAAGTGGTTTTTCGGTGCAATATCAAATCATCCCACCTCATACCGCGTACAGACGCATAATATATCTACACGCAAATAGTGTGTGGGACGGATATGCTCACATGCTGTAGTTTAGTTGAACTAGGAATTGTGCCTTCGTGAGTACTACCAGTAGGATGCTCGTTATGCTACGCACATGGCGCTAGTTGTGCTTCATTGAATATATTGTTTCTTTCTCCTTGATACTAGCTCAGCTCGCACCATGAATCACCTTGTTGTGCCGCGTGAACAGGCGAACTTCCTCTGGCTGTTGTTTGATACCACTTCAAGCTTACTACACAGTGCAGTGAAAATGACCGTTGCTGTGATTAACTTCACCACTATCGTTTAAATGCAGCTACCTTGTCATGTTCTGTTGAGCCTGCACCCCCTTCATGATCGTCTAAAGCTCATAATGACGTGCAGGCTGTCTTAGTTTATCGTCATTGCACTTGTACTTCCTGTGCGTTCACACCACCGACCTAAAGCACGAAGACGCGCATACAACCTAACCCACCCCAGTGCAGATGGGCGTTCCCACTCTTTCTTCCAACATAAATCCAGGGGATTCGCCTGCAATGCCTACAGAGAGCACCAGCATGTCGCTTAACGCGCTTCGGCTACCATCGTTGGTATCGTGATTTCAAACTGAACCTGTGTCGCGCGCTCTTCCCAAGGAAATTTTCACTGCGGTCAATAATCTCTCGTCGGACTTGGCCACACATATATTCAGTCATCTCTTCTGCCCATGGTGTGGGTTTGAAATCTGCAGTTATCACGTGGACCGAATACACATGCTCTACCTCGAGAGTAAAATCAAAACCGATCCTGACGCTTCCGATACTCCATGTCGTTGTCGTTGGCTCGCAAGTGGACCCAGCCACAGTTGCAGCTCCTTCAATTTTCATTCTCGCATTGACGCAGAGCGGTGCGAGCAAGACAGGATGTTGAGGTGGAGTGCGATGAAGATCTTCATCGTTATGATTGCCAAGAGGATGATATTGATGTCCCTGTCAATCTCTCTGCTATCGCAGACCTCATGTCGAGCAATTTCTATCGACGGCTTAGGACACTGTTTGAGGTGCCATAGGGTAACACACCATGATTGTCTGCGAGACATTCTGCAGGTTTGTACAAATGTGGTTGGGCAGCTACTAGTCCTAATGATGATGAAACTTGATTTTGTTAACGTTATATATGCATCTCTTCGAGATTTTCGTTGTAGTACGAAAAGAGAAGTATGTACACATGTAAGTACTTAAAGACATCGTTCAGGTTGGTCAACTCAAATTCATTTAACCCTGACGGTGACAGCCTTCAATTCGCTTGTCAAATATTACTTCGAGTCCCACCTTAATTTTATTGCGATACGGTCTACATCTGAACTTATCCGTCAATTGATGCACCGAGGGCGAGCCAGCTGCTTTACCACTTTCGCCCGTAGCTCAAGTTGACATAACTTCAGGTTGCACACCAACTCGAAGTCAACCCATCCACCCCTCGTAGTACCACTCAGGTTCTCGAGCCTCTTACCAAAAAAAGGTTTCTGGATGAGAGGATTTCAGCATACCTGCTGGGCTGACAAAATTGGTTCTCTCTGACTATAGAGACGTGCTTCTAGCCCAAACAAGATGGTACGCCTCCCGAGCATGTGAATGCCGACAGGGAGTTGTGTGCACTCCGATGTCATCCCTTTCTAGAAGCAGGTAGATTATTTGTTGAATATTCTTGCACCTGTATGTGATACCGCTCTTCGATGTTCGAGATCGGTGTATCAAATCCGTATTAGCAGGAGTACGTATCGCACGTCCCCTATGTTGGAGTATACATTTATATTCTTTCGTCGTTGCGATTGGGAGCTACGATCCTAGAACTGCTCTGCCCACGTACGTTGTAGTTTCAAAATTTCCAAACTACACACGTAAAAACCGTTGAACAATGAAGATGTAGTGAATGTCCCTGTGCCGGCCTGTTAGCTCAAAGAAGACGAGGAACCATAGTATCGAGAATATAAACAATGAGATACAGAGACGAGAAGGGCTATAATTGAAGGCCTAACAATTTTGGAATATTCTAGGCAAGAGCTTTTAGACGTAGTAACTAGATCTTAGACTTTAGTAGACTCTTTTTTCTCGGATCTGATTACGTCAAATTTAAGTTGGCTTGAAGCCTAAGGTCAAATGAGCGTGACATGAAGCACGTATATGTCACACGTGACAAGACGCGTCTCAGATATCCGCGACGATGAGCATCATCCCGAATCCTCCGCGCTGGCAAGCTAGCGCTGATCCTGGATCCATAGATGTTCCAGGTCTCGACACTAATGCATCTGTAAATGACCAGATCGACCAGATCGAACAGCTGATAACCATTAAACTTCAGGTGGTGTTAATTATGTGCTTCTTGCCGCCTAACACTAATAAAGTCGTTAGAACATCGACACGAATTTCTCGAAGATTCAGAATATTATGGCGACAAAGCTACTACCAGCTGTGAAGCGATATGCCGTGAGCACTGAACCCGTTCGTGAAGCTGCAAAGGTAAGTTTGATTTGTCCTGTTTTGCGGTCGATGAAACCTACTGTATCATCTCAGTTCTGGACATCGTTTTACGAGAAAGCCGCACAAGTACATATTCCTACGTATGAGGACTACTCCTCCTTGCATGAACAGCAGTCAGAAGCAACATCCCAAGCCGAAAATTCCTCCACCCGGCCCGACGCAGAGGAATCTTTGTTCGATACCGAAGACGATACAACGCCTTCCCATCATCGCAATCGCACTTATGGTCCAAATTCTACTGCATCTGAATCCTCTTTCATGCCATCGAATGCAGTATCATCTACCCCAGCTCGTGCTGGGCTGTCTGGCAATGATACTGTGGATGATCAACCTTCTTGGAGTGCATCACTAGAATCTCCACTCGTTCGACTTGATCGTGAGCTCCAGAATTTTACCATCGGGGACGATAGCAAGGCCTCAGCGGGTCAAGATTCTACCTACAATAGCTTTGCTTATGAAGAAGAAAACACTGTCCAGCTATTTTTGGATAAGGGAAAGGCAAGGGATTATTCGCATGAAGACTCCGTCTCGCATGGTGCATCGCGTCCCAATCTTCCATCTTTACGGGTTCCACCCAGTGTGCTCCCCACTCCTCGTGGCCTCCCAACTAGCGCAAGGATATCTCCACTGAAAGTCAAGCCCAAGACGCCTATAGCAATCCCACAACATTTACATGCATATCTTCCTCCACGCAATCATCCAGACCCCCCGCTGCCGTCGCCTAGGAGGCAACGATATGAACGCTCTCCACATAAGCCATACCCCCCACTGTCATCGACTTCTAATTCATCATCCGTTCTAGATATACCATCTCTAACGAGACCATCCGATGACTCGAATAGATCATTTGATCAGTTTAACGACTCTTTCGATGATTCCGCAGAACTCATGCGTGGTCTTTCACCACCACGAACGGTGGCATTTCCCCGCGGACCGAGGTCTAGCGTGGGACTGGGATTGCTACCTCCACTTGGTCGGACACCAGGCAAGGACTTACATCATGCATTGGGAAGGACACCCAAGAAGGAAGCTGCAGAGCGTATACGTCGCGACCTTCTTGGAGATGTTCAATCTGATCACAGTTCCGTCCGAAGTAGTGCTACCGTAGACCGGTTTGGTGGCTTCAAGAAATTTGGTTATTCCATTCCAGAAGGCACAGAAGACACCATGTCTACGATCCCAACCCCACCATCCATAACACGATATACCCGCCATACTTATCTCTCTGAGCACGACAGCAACGATGCGAGCTCAAGTTATGCAAGGATAATGCGCAAGACAGGACTCAGCATACCCGAATCCACCTCTACATCACGATCACATTCCGTCGGATCTCACCAAAGTCTCGAAACAGCGCGGCTTGCCCCCACTTCTCAACCACAGGCCCTCCATACCCCCGATCCATACTCCGACCTTTTCCATTTTCAACAAGAAGAGCTCAGTACACTACAACCAGTTGGTCAAAGTCCAGACTCCGACTCTGACTCTGACTCTCTTGGCGAGCCTGCACACCCAGGACAGCCATCGACTGCATTCCTAATGGCCTCCGCACGCAATCAAGATGCGGACGATTCATTCGGCTCGTCGAATTCAAACCACTCTAGCGATTCGATTGGAGAGGGCTTCGGCGACGAAGGCGGTGCAGTGCATCCATTTGCGCGCGCCGTGGAGGACGATGGGGATGGATTTGACGATAGTTTTGATTCTGTTGATGGTGATGCCGGTGGGTTGGAAGTGCAGGAAGAGACTGTGTTCGGTATCCCCCCTGCGCAGCGCAAGCACGGGAGAGGTCCTGCTGAGCTCAGGCTTCTAGGGGAAGATCTTTTGCAAGATACGATTGGTATCGGAAGTCAGCTGGCGAAAGCAGGGAGAATTGAAGAGAGTCCGACTCCGTATGGGAGGGTCTAGCTGTGTCTCAATCATAACTACAAGCTTGCTTCATATACTTTTTTTCCCGTCAGGCTCATGGGTGGTCCTCAAGGCTCGGTTAGTATTGACTTGGAATTCCAAGTCTAGAGCATGTGAAGATGCCATCGGTGCATTTACTCCCGAAAATCCATTGACTAAAATACAAATATGACTCAAACCACACCTACTACTCATCTTCCTTGATGTTAACCAACTCCCGCCCCTCCTCCACCATCTCTCCCTTCGCACACGCCACCGCATCTACAACGCCCGCTACCTCAGCACGCAACACAGTCTCCGTCTTCATACTCTCCAACACCACCACTGGCTGACCCTTCTCAACGCGATCACCTATGCTGACTTTCACTTCTACTACTAAGCTTGGCATCGGTGCACGCAAAGCGCCCTTGGATGATGTGAGAACATCCTGTCCGAGGGAGAGGAGGTACGCAGGAGGTGGGATGGCCAACGTAGTCTTAGTTCCCGACGCTGAGAACACGTGTAGGCGTTCCATGGTGTTCGTTGCGCGTGACGCAGGGTGGGAAGGAGGCGGGCGCTGCGACACAATCGTCATTTCTGTCGAAAATCCATTGAGCGTCGTGCTCAATCTTGTAGGCGAAACCAGGCGAGCCGAGACACCTGTGAATGTCTTTGGTGTGGCAGAGTGAACAACCATGTCGAAATGGCCTGGAGATGTAGATTTCAGAGAAACTCGGGTGGCATCTGCGGTGGCATCATCGGGTTGGATGGAGATGGTGCGCTCGTAAACATCTCCGCCAAAGCGCCTTGAAGTCAGTGTTGCCCATGGTGTCGAAAGGCTTGTAGATTGAATCGGATGTTCTCGTAATGCGACGAACAGCGCTCCTTGTGCCAATAACTCGGGAGAGGGACTTTCGACAGCTGGGAAAAGGTCGTCGTAGTGTTTCTATTCATAGGACACTATAAACTGGAACTAAACAGCGATATGAATAGGCACACCTTGATGAAGCCAGTTTCAACCTCTCCATTGATAAATGCGTCATTACCAGCGAGCATTCTCAAAAATTCAACATTTGTCGAGACACCGACCACTTTATATTCTTCAAGCGCACGGCGGAGAGCACGAAGCGCAGAGGACCTATCACGTCCGTGTACCACCAGCTTGGCAATCATCGGGTCGTAAAACACACCAATCTGTGCACCCTGCGTGAACCCTTGTTCTAAGCGCATCGACGGTGCCACATGCGTTGAGGTATCAGGTGACCGCTTCACCGAGTCCAGTTCTGAGCACAAGTCGTTGTGAGGGAGTGATGGGATGGGAGGGGCAAAGATATGGGTTGGTTTCGGGGTGTCAAGGTACAATAGTGGCCCAGAGTCAGGTAGGAAATCGTTCCGCGGATTCTCAGCATATATCCGAGCCTCAAATGCGTGCCCGACGAGAGGGATTTGTGTTTGCGAAAGCGGAAGAGGATTACCAGCCGCAACTTCCAGTTGCCACTCGACAAGGTCAAGGCCAGTGATCATCTCTGTGACGGGATGCTCAACTTGCAAGCGGGTGTTCCTGAGATTTCATGAGTAGTGTGCCGCACAACTAGAAAGTGCATACATTTCCATGAAGTAGAACTTCTCTGTATCGTTGTCGAAAATGAATTCCACAGTTCCAGCACCTACGTAATTCACGGCCTTTGCAGCAGCAACTGCTTTCGCTGATAAGTCCGCACGAAGATCGGGGCTCAAGCCAGGCGCCGGGGCCTATCAAGATCTGTCGATCTATACACCTTTGGTACAATTTTCAAACCTACCTCCTCGATAATCTTCTGGTTTCTCCTTTGCACAGAACAGTCTCTCTCCCAAAGACTTACAGCATTCCCGAGTGTATCCGCAAATACCTGTACTTCAATATGTCTGGGACGCTCAATGTACTTCTCTACAAGTACATCTGCATCACCAAAACTTTTCAAGGATTCACGTTGTGCGCTAGCGAGAGCATCCTTGAACTGAGATGCAGATGAGACGACACGCATGCCCTTGCCACCGCCACCATGAATGGCTTTAATCAAGACTGGGTAACCTGTGTGGTATAACGCGCTGAACAGGGAGGTTCGGGAAGAGCTGGATGAAGATGCATACCGATCTTCCCGGCCTCTTCGAATAAAAGGTCAACGTCTTGGTTCACGCCGTGATAACCTGGCACACATGGAACGCCAGCAGCTGTACAAAAGGGTTGAACATCACGCTTTCAGGAGCACCCTGTATGATGCATCATACCAGACATGATATTCTTAGATTCGCTGAAGGAAGATTAGCTCTATATCGGTATCAAGGGTGCTTGAACCGACCTTTTCGAACCCATACTGACTATAGCGCTGGAGGGAGGACCAATGAAAACGATACCCTCTTCTGCTAGTCGCTCTGCGAACTTTGCATTCTCGCTCAAGAAGCCATAGCTAACAGGGACATCAGCTTGCCATGCACGAACATGGAAAATAATCTATGCACCCCGGATGGACAGCCTGTGATTGGTACAATGCAAGTTCAAAGTCAAGCTCCGTCTCACATGACAGAACTTGAGACTGAACCAACCTGAGCTCCGCTTCGACGACAAACATCGATGATCTTGTCCATGCGCAACTAGGTAAAGCAGCGTCAGTAGAAGACTACTAGATCAGCGGGATTATGAACGGACATAGCTCTCAGCTGAAGGCGCAGGGCCAATGCAGTAGGCTTCATCTGCTTCCAGGACATGTAGCGAGTTTGCGTCAACTTCGCTGTATACTGCTACAGTCTTTATTCCCAGCTTCTTTGCGGTACGGATTACGCGGCATGCAATTTCCCCCCTGAGAACAGGTTAGGCAAGTTAGGCGATAAGAGAGACTGGAATGCTACCGGTTTGCGATAAGTATCTTGTCAAAGTGAGGCTTTCTTTCAGACGACAATGTGTCTAAATGATACTACTAGTAAGTGTATTTCACACAGAGGAAGAAAACCACATACTCTGAACGGCAGTTGCAAATCTTCTTCGTGAAACAGCAGGCTGTACTAGCATTCTAGGTTGGCAAACCATGGCTCCGGTCACGGAAGCCTTCGTTTGAAATGTCCGTGCATATTTCGTGCTACTGCTCACGTCTGGGGCCAACAAGGCCCGTGGAATGGAATGAACATGGGTGGAAGAGCGTAGGAGGGAAGAGGTTGCTGCTCGATTTGTGGGTATCATCCTGCGCGTTGTCTGAGTCAGCTCTTGGATCTTGAACGCAACTTCAATGAATGGAGACGTAGATAATAAAAGAGGTCGATATAAGTAGTCTCGGACCTCAACTGACACGGAAGGTCCTTCCGCGAACCGGTCACGTGGAAAGTGTACTTCTCGGTTGCTTCTCGGCTCAGGTCCCGATCGATGCGGTTATTTCTCGGGGCCGTCATCTCAGCACGGTTTCTACTTTGCCAAGTCAAGTTAAGGCGACTGTATCATAATTTTTCATGCTCGCTCGATTTTTTTGTTCATCCAGAGCACATTCAAAACTTTTGCACATATCACCGAGCTCCGTGTTTTTAACCTGTGCGATGTCTCGTCGCCCAATCTCAACATCACCAACCCCTGGGCCTCAGGGCGATTCGGAACGACCACCCAAACGTCCGCGAATCGACCATCTCACACCAGATTCGTTCAGAAATGGGATATTTCTCGCACCGATGGTCAGATCTGGTGCTCGTACGTGCCGGTTCTGTGTTTTCAGTCCGATCCGAGTTAATGCAGCTTTTAATCACAGTACCGACGCGATTGATGGCTCTTAAGCATGGTGCGGCGCTTGTCTGGGGCCCTGAAATGGTAGACAAGGCTATTCTACACGCAGAACGCGAAATTGACCGTATGTATGACCTATGTCTCATTTCCACTGATCATCTGATGTTCTTCAGCTGTTACTGGTGTCATCTCGTACAACGGCAAGACTCGCGCCATGTTTACGACTCATCCTCTCGAAAAGCCATACCTCATATACCAAATCGGTTCCGCTGACCCCGAGCTTGCGGTGCAGGCCGCAAAAACCGTCATGCAGGACGTTTCAGGCGTTGACCTCAACTGTGGGTGTCCGAAACCCTTCAGCACACACGCTGGCATGGGCGCGGCTCTCTTGACGAATCCTGATCTTCTTTGTGGAATATTGGAGGCTCTGAGGAGGGAATTGCCGAGGGAAATCAGTGTATCGGCAAAGATCAGATTACTGTCAACTCAGGAAGAGACGAAGAAGTTGGTAGAAAGGATTGCAAGGACAGGTGTGAATGCGATCACAGTACACTGTCGGACGAGAAACATGAGGCCGAGAGAACGAGCATTAGTTGAGAGGCTTAGAGAGATCGTCGAATTTGTGCAGGGGTTGGGTTTGGATGTGGCGATAATTCAAAATGGAGATTGTACAGGAAGGGAAGACGCAAAGCGCATCAGGGACTTCACTGGTGAGTTTAATCGTGGAGGTTATACCACTGCATGTATTCTTATACACCGTTCAGGCGCAGACTCGGTCATGATTGCAACGGCGGCAGAGTCAAATCCATCGTGTTTCTCCGCGACACCACTTCGAGATGTTGAGTCAACACTTTCACCTTCATATGTGCGCCTCTGCAAATACTTGGATAACCACTGGGCCTCTACGAAATTTTGTGTCACTCAATTCAAGGGTACACGCTCAGAGGTGTCCAAGACGGATGCACATGAGCTGAAGTCGAGGATAACTAAAGCCAAGGGGTATGAAGACATCGAAGACATCGTTGGGAGCTGGACGGGCGAGGAAGAATTTAACGAGATTTCGAGGATTGTGGAAGCACGTCCACCGCGAGTATCCGCAGATGCAGAACAGGAAGAAGTAACTGAGGAAGAAGATATACCCCCACCGTGTGCAACACCCCCCGACCGCCCCAATCCCGAACCGCCAACATCTGGCGCGCCAAAAATAGGGCTCAGAATGCCTATGCCTGCAATCTTAACAGGCAGCAATATGGTCTCACCTACACCCACTCCTGGTGGCATGCGTTAATGTCTCTTTCACTTCACGACATTCATATCTAATACTTTTAATAGCATTTAATTGATCAATGGTATTTTGAAGCAGGTCCCAGATATAAGTTGTCGAAATGATACTAGAAGACTGCATCTGATGCATTTTTTAGATTCTATCAAGTGTGCAGCGCTCCTGTTTTCCTCCCAACTCATCCATACTATTCCCGGATTGTCCATTCTAAGACGCGATCCACACGTCGAATGGTTTTTAAATGCGAATGCGCATCAAGGGGTGTAAGCGGCTTATAGCGGTTGTGCTTGCGCTGTGCCGATATGGTGATTTGAGAGGGCAGTGGTAAACAGTGCCGCATTCTGGTGGAGTTACTCGGAAGATGAGAATAATCTCAACACATCGAGCGAGAGAGCTTGATCTCGGATTGGATAATGCGCTTGAAGGCGCGTGTTGTAGGCACTTGTTAATTGGTACCAAAGATCTTCTTCAGCATGCTCTTGCCCTGCTTCTTTTGCCCGTTGGAAGCGCCAAGCACCTGGCGGAACTCTGCGTACATCGCATGTGTCTCACGTGGGGACTGTGTTGGAGCAAAGACAGCAAATACGTTTGAGGATGCAGGCGGGGAGGCGAAGAGGGAGAAGTGGGTGTTAACGTTAAGCGTGGTGTAAGACATCTCGAGCTATTTGTTTGGAGACGAGTGTGAGATTCAGAGATGTTTAGTTTGAAGGCTGAGGGCGCTAGTGCTGATGATGAGTAAAGTGACGGACATCGCGTTGCTTAAGTATCTGGTTGCTGGGTTCTTTGACGACGGAGTGTCAGGAAATCAAGAATCGAATGTTGACCGTCTTCAAGAAAATTACCTTTTAGGAAAATACGGATTGCATGATACACATGGGCCCATGGGCAATCGATTCCGGGACGGAGACAGTGCTAAAAGAGGAAATAAATGTTGCATTGTGTGCCAGACAATGCGAAGGAGGCTGTTTGCAGGTGTTTAGCAAAACCTTTTGAAGTAAATACGACCAAACATCCAGTTGGCTCGAGTTCTTCGAAATCGTTCTTGCGACTCCTTATAAAAACTCGAATTCAAATCTTATCATAGTATGATTTGTGACATCCGTTGTTCACGGAGGTACCTTAGTGAGTAATGATGATGTCTTTGTAAGCACTTCAAAATACAACCATCATATCGTCTGACTAATTTTCTTGTAGTAATGCTGACTGAGTCCAGTAACGGACCAAGCCACTATTTGACGCATCTTTGAATGACGATATTGCTAGGAGTGGCGCAGATTTGTGATCAGCCTGTTTTCAAGCTGTTGGATTCGTAAGCGCCGCCCTGGTTGTGTCAGAATTCGACAAAGCGCACATCGCTGTAGCTCCTTTATTAGGAGCTATAAATACATGACAATATCCACTGCCGAAAACACTACATACTTTCGACTCATCGACCTCCCAGTTACTGCCATGTCGTCGCAAACTCATCTTGCATTCGCGAGTACAGCTGTTGGGATAACATCTGTTATTCAAGTCCCGACACCATCTCCTGGACCTGGTGAGGTGATGGTAAAAGTGGCATTCAGCGCAGTCATACCTCTTGACACATACGTAGCGGATTATGGTCGAATCGTAAACGGCGAATACCCACTCGTATTAGGCTTCAATCTTAGTGGAGTTGTGGAAGCTGTTGGCTCTGGTGTGGGCGGCCTGCAGACGGGAGACAAGGTGAACATAAATATCTGTGCAAGATGAACGAACAAGTCTGATGGCCATCTTATTTTCTAGGTTTGCGGATTTACAACGGCTGGATCAAAGGGGAAGGGTTTACAAGAACGTGCAATTATACACAGTTCCGCTTGCGCCAAGGTTTGGAAAAATCACGTTTTTAATGCAAGTCCTAATCAGAGTCGCAGCTCCCCGATGATTACTCTCTCGAAGCAGCTGCAACAATTCCTGACAATTTCGTAACTGCATTTTACACGCTGTTCGATCGTTTGGGACTTACTCCACCAACATTCCCCGTTTCTGTACCACCTCCCCATGCAGAGACTCCCATCCTCGTTTATGGTGCGGGAGCCACGTCTGGTCAATACGCTGTTCAGCTGTTAGCCCTTGCTGGGTACAAGCGGGTCATTGCAACAGCGTCCCCTCGGCACCATTCTTACCTCAAGTCTCTTGGCGTCGCCCATGTCATAGACTACAGCGCTGACGACATGCTCGAGAATATTTTACTCGCCGCAGGCACAAAGCTTCAATTTGTCTTGGACTGCATCAGCGCTGAGAGCACACTCAAAAGCATATCCAATGTCGTTAGCTCCGACGGTGTGGTCGCCATGCTATTGCCAGTGACGGAAGGCACTAGGCATGTTGCAGGGAAAGATGCGCAAATGTGGATGGAATTACCGGTGGACAGAAACCCCTTCCCAGATTCGGTGAAAGTTTTAGGCGTGAAGACGCTACTGTACCAGCAGGTGAGTATCTTTGGAATTTTTTTGATTCAAAATGTTGATAAGTTGGCGTAGAATGAGTACCTTCGTGACAACCTGATGCCAAAGATTCTCCCTCGACTGTTGGAGGAAGGCATCATTCAACCCAATCGAGTTCGCCTATTTGATCAAGGATCACTACAAGATCGCTGCCAGGATGCTTTTAATGTAGTACGAAATGGACAGGTGAACGGAGAGAAAGTGATTGTGAAAGTAGCATCGGAGTAGCTCATTCACTGTACTTACATCTGGGTTAGAACTTAGGTGAGGCGTATTGGAGCGGACGAGGAACATAGTCATTTGGATACTGCCTGTATATGGCATACTTGTAAGCCAAGTAATTTATGTAACTACTCATAGATGTAGTACTAGGCAATCTTATCTTATTGTTCTCATGGTATCGTAGCATTTATCATTTTCGGGCGTATCGGATTCGTCACTTGTGCGGTTATAATATATATTCGATCCAAGATGTTGGGTGTAATTCGCCTAAGATCTTTAGTTCTCCGTGGTGGTCCTCCCAGCTGTAGGACAACCGCTCTTCGTCTCCCACAATACCCCGCTTTTGCACTCGCTACCAGAACAAAACGACAGATGTCTACGATCACAGCCGTTTCGACGCCCAACGCGCCCTCAGCCATTGGGCCCTATTCCCAAGCTATCAAAGCTGGCGAATTCGTGTTTGTTTCGGGTTGCATCCCCCTCGTACCTTCCACGATGCAGATAGTCGAAGGCGGTATCGAGGAACAGACCAAGCAGGCCCTCACAAATCTCAAGGCTGTTCTTGAAGCCAGCTCTAGCTCAGTTGGCAAGGTCGTCAAGACTACGGTATGTCGCTGAGACAGTCGTCTGTCTCCGAGTCGAATCTGACGGATGATGCATTACATAGGTGTTCCTGAAAGATATGGAGGACTTTGCCACCGTCAACAAGATTTACGAGGAGTTCTTTAGTGGTTCGGAACACAAGCCGGCACGGTCAGCCGTTGAGGTTGCTCGGCTTCCGAAAGACGTTTTGTTTGAGATCGAGTGCATAGCCGGTTAGTCCCTCGTACTATGAACTTCTTCGGGTGTACTAATAATGCGCCATTTATCTTCAATATTAGTGGCAAATAAGTGATTCACGAGTCTTTATGACGAGTACCGTGAATTGATACGTAGATCGTTGGACACACGTGCAATGGCAGAGCCTCACGCAGAGCCTCACGAGCATCAGTTTCGGCGAGCACAGAATTTAGAAATAGGAATGGCACTTTTTTGTGATATACTCGGCCTAGTGCGTATGAAAGATCAGGATGTGATATTTTCGATGAATCTGTGTTGGGACTGAATACTGAGTACTGAGTACTGAGTACTAATATTCTGATTGTACTAGTTTGGACACGGGAGGTCCTTGCACTATTTCTTAGCGAAAACAAAACACCTTCTGTGAACTGCAAAGTTTCCGACCACTGTAGACACTAGAGTCTGGACAGGATCGATCATTGAAATCGTTGATATATTTCAAGCCCTTTGGCACTGTAAATTCGACAAGAAAAACGCGCACATACCAGTTTAGCCGGCGCGAGAGGAACATCAACGATAGTTGGCGATGCACGCCACCAGCTTGATAGTCGATTTAAGGGAGATTTGAGGGTTGGGAAAGTATTGATGACAGAGGATTGGGTGGTGGGCGGTGCTGGTGTGCGTCGAGACTGGAAGAATGTAAGTTTGCATGTGATGATAGAGGTCCGCACTCACATTCTCGTCGTGCTTTGGAAGTGGACGAGGTAGGGGCGATGTAGCAGGGAACTGTGAGTGAACTGTAGAGTCAACTGGGAGGCAAACGGGTAAAAGAAACATACGTCCAGGAGATTAGGCTCATCGATGCGACCCGCATCTGTACGAGAAAAGAGCTTGCGTAGAAAGCGGAGGCGAGCATGTGGATCCCTGGCAGGCAAAGGTCGAGGAATGGGAGACATGGCAGGTATTATCACTGGTTTACGACGCGCGGGACGAGGTGTTGCATCGGACTGTAATGAATAAAAGTGCGGTGCAGATGAAGGAAAGGGCGGGTCCACATACGTTGAGCAGACCAGCATGGCGTGAATCAGATTTATTGGTCTATAGAATATTAGCATATAAATGATGGATGTATGTGGGGGATACATACACTAGGCTGTGCTTCAAGTCCAACGCTAGCAAGGATGTTGGCTGGAATGTCACATATGAAGATTTTAGTGTCATTGAAGATCGTGTAAGCTAGTTGGCGTGAATTGGGTGAGAAGACAAGCGCAGGATATTCCGAGACGTCGAATGAAGCGAGGAGTTGGCGGGACTCGAAGACCCACAGCTTGATGATGAGGTAGGAAGAGCTGGCGAGAAGAACACAATCAGATGAGAGTGCTAGACCAAAGATCTTCTCAGTGTGTTTGAAAGGGGCTCCAACAATCTTGAGAGTCGACGCGTCAAATTCGTGGATTGTCGTGTCATCATCCATGCAGTTGGATGCGGCTACAATGGATTTGTTTTTTGTTGTCCAGAATACCGGCAATTTGCGCCCTCCATCCTTGTCAGGAGTAGAACCAAGCTCCATATCCAAGCTGTTCCATGCTCTGACCCACCCGCTACCAACGCGCTGTCCGCGGAGATATCGATGCATCTAATCCACCCAACGTGAAATGTTCTCACGATACCCGTCTCAACCTCACTGACTTTGAGTCCCAGGCTATAGCCAGCAGTGACAACCCATCGACCATCCCTTGACACCGCAACCGCATCTATACCATTCTCGCAAACCTCTCGAGCCTCCTCAATCTCCTTACCCTCCCGCAGGTCCCATCGCCGAATCGTCTTATCCCCCGATCCGCTGATCATTTGCTTGTCGTCAGGAGAATAGGAAATGGACAAAATATATTTGAACTCGTGATGTTCACCATCCTCATAGAGAAATTTCCATGGTTCATGTCCCTCCAAGGTCATGACTGATGTTAGAATCGATTTGTTCTCTGCTGCATCGGGCTGCATCGAGCTGGAAGCCATCACAGCTGTATTCACCAGACGGGTCGGCAAGATGTCGGTCAATGGATGTGTTCGGTGGGTTCTCCTCGTGCTCTATAAAGCTAGGCTTGACGTTGAGTAATTGTCAACTCTCACTCGTTCGAGAGCTGGCGCACCTTACTTGCTCAAATCAATCGTCAGTTTGACTCAATTCATGCGTGATGCTCAGAGGTTTTGTCTTACCAGGGCGTTAGCAAGGAAGAAGAGCGATGATGGTCATATAGGCGCGTGTTCCATCTCTTTATATTTATATCTTCCAGACGGCCGTGCATTGCACAGCGTGACTCCCCACACTATCCATACATGTAACCTTATCAAGTTATGATGACCTCGGAGTGGCGTCCACCCGCATGCTTCCTGTGTGGTTCTCATGTGCCAGGGCGTAATGGATTGCCAGTTAGGAGGAAATTTATTGCATGAAATTCGTCTGTGAGAAGCTAGTGCATGGTCACTTAGAATCACAATCCATGCGTTAAAACTTGAAGGTTACGAGAAATGAAAAAGAGCTGGCTTGATCTCGTTTGGAAGCTCACTAGATTTAACTAGGTCGCATTTTCGAGCAGTTCTATGTACTGAACAAACACCTTCGGAACAAGAGCCTATCGGGATTCGGATGCTGATACACTGGAACGGGCACGGACTGCAAGGGAACCAAGGCCAGACCTCTATGGCGGGAGGCTACAGCTCTGTCTATCGAGGACAGACTACGACACACGCGAGGACTACCGACTACGAGCCAGGACTCCTGCCACTGCGCCAGGACCCCTGCCACTCCCGTCCTGTCCTGCCAGAGCGCCCCGCTACAACACCAGGAAGCCAGTTCCTCTCTGCCCACGACGCATGTACCGTGACTAGTGTGACGCACACCAAATTTTACTGGATTCACGTTGATGGAGTCTAAAGTGCGTGTCTATACCTCTGTCGTTATATCTGAAACCATTGTCAAGTTCATGCGACTCCGAGTATGGCCTCAGAGCATCAATCTCATCAAACATGATGCAGAGGATTTTCGACGTGCACCGCCCACCGCAAGCCGTAAGGCGCATTGGCAGGAGAAGAATATGAAGGTCATATGGCAATCAAATGATAAGCAAACTTTACCCATGGTTGAAACTCATCAGTATTGAGAGCTTTTGAACCGGGAGTGATCGTGACTGGAAACATTACCTGGTCGACGTTTGGCTGCACTCCGAAAGCCTATGTCGATGCGCTCGTACATTGCAGTCATCAACAATAAACCCATGTTGTCAGGTACCACTTTCTGCTCACCAATAACGCAACTTCATCTTTATAACCAGTTATTTTCTGCGCATGCTGCCGCTCTATCCGATCCAGGTTTCTGGGCTCAGGTCGCACCAGGACATCCAGATGTCGCTTCTCTGTGTTGACGATCTGTAACGGTGCAAATCAATTCGTGAGATGACTGTTTAACAATGAAGAAGTTCTTCGATGCTTTCTTGAGTCGATGACATGGATAAGTGAAATTTTACTTCTTTACCTTTCACCCGTCCTTCCGGGCCAGGAAGCCGTTCCTTGTATTTGGTAGGTCTTTGTACTCTTCATGACCGTGTATACAGGCACTAAAAAGCGATCACTTGCAGGCTCTCAGCAGGGTGGCAAAGGCACACCTTTGCGTCAAGCGACCAACGCTGCAAGACGGCGATTTACTTCAACTTAATGGTGTATTTTTGCAAGCAGGAAACTAAAATAATGGTCCGTTCTCTATCTTGGCTAAAACAGTCAAATCGGGCCAGAATCTACGACGGGATGTTGCGATGTATCAAGGATGCAAATAAAGCGTGAGTATTCACAAGGAAATGCAATGACAATATTGTTGTCCGTGACACTTGGCGCTTGAGTCTTTCCGAGTCGGATGCTGGTGAGCCGATTCTGAAATCATGCATTTAGAAGGTGATGCGAGACGTATGCATCAAGTATTGCATTGTCTATTCTACCTCACGTAGGTTCGTTCTTTGTGATTGTTGTTGACCAATTCACTGAACTCGAGCTGTTTCTTCCAAAGCACCGACATGACTCACGAAGACCTGATAGATCTTGTCACTCACGCGAATCTGCTTTCAATCTACTCTGTTCGCTATAACTTATAAGTTGTAGCGCTCCAATCAGATTGTCAGCCCCAGGAGGACCTAAACTTCCACAGCGCATTGACAATGTACTGCTCGTGTTTGCATCGCGGACTTGCAACAAGAACGAATAGCTCAAGCGTGCATGCAAAGCTGAACGCATCGATCCAAAGGACCATCGTCCCATTTAGTGAATGACGATGGTCCACAGAAATTGTTTCCTCAAAGGAAGGCCCCTGCAGTGGAAACACATCTCGAGGGGTATGCCTTCAAAGCGGCGCTGGACGAGCATATAAATATCGGTTCGGTGGCCTTCATCATCTATTCCTCACCCACTGCACCTACTGCCACTGCGACCTCGTACACACACTCTAACATTTCAATCAACTATTTGTTGACCACGGTACGTGTGTTCCGAGCTTCAACACTTACGTTTCTCACTGTATGTACTTCTTGCCACCAGATGAGAAAATTCATTCCCCACGTCTCCTCATCGCATGGTTCCGATTCTTCCAATGCAACCCAATACACGCCAAACACTTGTACGTATATGGGTCGATTTCGCTGGCCCCAGCCCTCACGCATTCCTTCTCCAGGCTCCTACCACCCGCATGGTGTGTCAGCTAACGGGATGTATAGTGCCTCTCCCGCATACGCGCCCGTTGCACTTTCGCCTGGTGTGGGTGTTGGAGTCGTGCATCACGCGTTCCAAACGGGACCAAATGGTTATTGCCCCCCTCCAGGAGCCGATGTCTCGTGTGCCACTTATGGTGGTCCATACTCACTGCCAACTGCGGCTGCTCATCCCCCACAAGACCCATCCGCGACCCCTCTGTACCATCAACCTATTTCTTTTCCAGGAGCCGCAAACCCTTACGCTGCACTCGTACCGCACCAAGGATACCTCCACCAGAATCACGGGTCTGTGCTCGCAACGGGCTCTGCATTTTCGTCTCTCCCTCAAGCACCACGTATCAATCAGAAGCACGTCGTGGAACACCTCCATTACCACGACGTCAAGCAAGCCAAAATAGCTCCCGGCGGAATGAAGAACGACCCGTTATTTGTGAGTTTTCTTTTCATCTTGTGAGGTCGAATTCTCAAGCATTGGGACAGACACCCGTGTTAGATCGACTCGGTCAACCAAACGGGACATTCGTGTGTTCTAGGGACGGCATGGTGCTCAATCCTGGAAGCTATCTGAAGCACCTCAAGACAAAAAAGCACCTGGGCTTCAAACTAGAGAAATTCAAGTGCTCTGGTTGTCCCAAAACGTGCGTATCCCAACTCTCAAATACGCTTCTCGTATCATTAATATCGTTGTGATTAGGTATACGAGACGCGATGCCTACAAGAGGCACTTGATCAATAGCAAGTGTGGACAGGTGACAGCTGTGGACGCTCCGCCGCCATACTCAGCTAGTCAGAACTCCACGAGTTCCGCTTCTGCTGCACCTGCAATGGCACCTACCACTGCGCTCACTTATTCTCACCTGTATAGCCCCATGTTCGCCGAAGATGACAATAACGACGACACTGATTTTTAGGAGGCTAATGAGATAAAGGACGGCCATGAGATGTAGCCATATTTCAATTCTGCTACTGACTATTTTCTTTCTTGTATTATCTGCTGTCGTTCATTCACTTGTCTTTCCACCTACTACACGCATTCTCTATTCTCTATGGCATAACAAACTATTTATTCGTTCACACTGTCATGACCACTATGATCGTTATCATCATCATCATCACAGTGATTTGGTGATTCGGTGGTTATAATACACTCTCCTCTCTTGTACGCGCGAGCTGGAATATTCAAGGAACGAGCGAGCAAGTGGTGGGTTGAAACAATTTGCAACATCATCACCCGTCCCCCCGAAGACACACTTGAGAAGCATCAGGGCCAATCTCAGAAAGGTCAACATATTATCTCTGTAAAATTTTGAGAAAGCGACTCAACCTAAATACACAGATGTCACAATGCGAGGTGAACTATTGCACCAAGTTGCGGACCCACAATTGACTCAACACAATGAAGTCCCTGGGTTGAGGTCTCTTTCACTTCATGACATTCATATCTAATGCTTTTATTAGCATTTAATTGATTCGACGGTATTTTGAAGCAGGTCCCAGATATAAGGTGTCGTCGAAATGATACTAGAAGACTGCATCCGATGCATTTTTTGGATTCTATTATGTACAAGCGCTCCGATCACCTTCGGACGTTTCCTAACGTCAGGTATAGTAACAGATGCTTGGAGACTACGTTCGCCGTCGGTGGTATCGCACATACCGCATCTACCTTGAGATCGAGGCGATGGGGAGGTGTGTTTGTGTGAGTTAACATTGCAAGGTATTCGGGAGTCTGTTCTGGTGGGTCTGCAGGCGCTTGGTCTGCCTCTTTGAGATACTTAGACTGAGCTGAAGTATGATTCTGTTTCGTTCTGTCATCAGTCTTTTGCGTGATTGGTTCTCACTCGTGAACGTTGAACTTTTGAATGCCTACGACGCCGTGAAAAGAGCACGCGGACGCCATGATGATAGGTGACGGCTGGGACTATAGGAGACACGGAGATCGCGAGCGCAAGAAGCGGGTGGCGCTCAGCTGGAGCATGCACGTGGGGTGGACACGAATTGGTTCCGCGGGATCAAACGCTCCGTGCTTATATATATTAGAAAGTATGCAGCGCTCCAGTTTTCCTCCCAACTCATCCATACTATTCCCGGATTGTCCATTCTAAAACGCGATCCACACGTCGAATAGTTTTTAAATGCGAATGCGCATCAAGGGGTGTAAGCGGCTTGTAGTGGCTGTGCTTGCGCTGTGCCGATACAGTGGTTTGAGAGGGCGGTGGTAAACAGTGCCGCATTCTGGTGAAGTTGCTCGGAAGATGAGAATAATCTCAACACATCGAGCGAGAGAGTTGGATAATGCGCTTGAAGGCGCGTGTCGTAGGCACTTGTTAATTGGTACCAAGGATCTTCTTCAGCACGCTCTTGCCCTGCTTCTTTTGTCCGTTGGAAGCGCCAAGCACCTGGCGGAACTCTGCGTACATCGCATGTGTCTCACGTGGGGACTGTGTTGGAGCAAAGACAGCAAATACATTTGAGGATGCAGGCGGGGAGGCGAAGAGGGAGAAGTGGGTGTTAACGTTAAGAGTGGTGTAAGACATCTCGAGCTATTTGTTTGGAGACGAGTGTGAGATTCAGAGATATTTAGTTTGAAGGCTGAGGGCGCTAGTGCTGATGATGAGTAGAGTGACGGACATCGCGTTGCTTAAGTATCTGGGTGCTGGGTGCTTTGACGACGGAGTGTCAGGAAATCAAGGATCGAGTGTCGACCGTCTTCGAGCAAATTAGCCTTTTTAGGAAAATTCAGATTGCATGCTACACATGGGCCTATGATGATCTACGGGCAATCGATTCCGGGACGGAGACAGTGCTAAAAGAGGAAATAAACGTTGCATTGTGTGCCAGACTGTCAGACAATGCGAAGGAGGCTGTTTGCAGATGTTTAGCAAAACCTTTGGAAGTAAATAGGACCAAACATCCATTTGGCTTGACAAGTTCAACTTAAATCGTTCTTGCGACTCCTTAGAAAAACTCTTTTGACACGCACCGCCCACCGCAAGCTGTAAGGCGCATTGGCAGAAGAATAGGAAGGTCATATGACAACCAAATGATAAGCAAACTTTACCCATGGTTAAAACTCAATAGTATTGAAAGCATTTGAACTGGGAGTGATTGTGACTGGAAACATTACCTGGTCAACGTTTGGCGGCACTCCAAAAGCCCATGTCAATGCGCTCGGTGTACATAGCAGTTATCAACAATATACCCGTGTCGTCAGGTACCACTTTCTGCTCACCAATAACGCAACTTCATTTTTATAGCCAGTTATTTTCTGCGCATGCTGCCGCTCTATCCGATCCAGATTTCTGCACTCAGGTCGCGCCAGGACATGCAGATATCGCTTCTGCATTGTGTTTACGAGCCGTAGCAGTGCAAAGCAATTTCCGAGACAACTGTTCAACGATGAAGGAGTTCTCCAGTGCTTTCTTGAGTTGATGACATGGGTAAGTGAATTTGTGCTTCTTTACCTTTCACCCGTCCTTCCGGGCCAAGAAACCATTCCTTGAATTTGGTGTGTCTTTGTACTCCTCATAACCGCGTATACAGGCGCTAAAAAGCGATCAGTTGCAGGCTCTCAGCAGGGTGGCAAAGGCACACCTTTGCGTCAAGCGACCAACGTTGCAAGACAGCGATTTCCTTCAACTTGATGGTGTAATTTTGCAAGCAGGAAATCAAAATAATGGTTTCTCTATCTTGGCTAGAACAGTCAAATCGGGCCAGAATCTACGACGGAGTGTTGCGATGTATTAAGGACACGAATAAAGCGTGAGTACTCACAAGGAAATGCAATGACAATATTGTTGTCCGTGACACCTGGTTCTCGAGTCTTTCCGAGTCGAATGCTGGTGAGCTGATTCTGAAATCACGCGTCTACTATGATTCATCTGTTCGCTATAACTTACAAGTTGTAGTGCTCCAATCAGATTGTCAGCCTCAGGAGGACCTAAACATCCACAGCGCATTGACAATGCACTGCGCGTGTTTGCATCGCGGACTCGCAACAAGAACGAATAGCTCAAGCGTGCATGCAAAGCTGAATGCATCGGTCCAAAGGACCATCGTCCCATTTAGTGAATGACGGTGGTCCACAGAAATTGTTTCCTCAAAGGAAGGCCCCTGCAGTGGAAACACGTCTCGAGGGGTATGCCTTCAAAGCGGCGCTGGACGAGCATATAAATATTGGTTCGGTGGCCTTCATCCTCTATCCCTCACCCACTGCACCTACTGCCACTGCGACCTCGTACACACACTCTAACATTTTAATCAACCATTTGTTGACCCCGGTACGTGTGTTCCGAGCTTCAACACTTACGTTTCTCACTGTTGTACGTCTTGCCACCAGATGAGAAAATTCATTCCCCACGTCTCCTCATCGCATGGTTCCGATTCTTCCAATGCAACCCAATACACGCCAAACACTTGTAAGTATATGGGTCGATTTCGCTGGCCCCAGCCCTCACGCATTCCTTTTCCAGGCTCCTACTACCCGTATGGTGTGTCAGCTAACGGGATGCATAGTGCCCCTCCCGCATACGCGCCCGTTGCACTTTCGCCTGGTGTGGGTGCTGGATTCGTGGATCACGCGTTCCAAACGGGACAAAATGGTTATTTCCCCCCTCCAGGAGCCGATGTCTCGTGTGCCACTTATGGTGGTCCATACTCACTGCCAACTGCGGCTGCTCATCCCCCACAAGACCCATCCGCGACCCCTCTGTACCATCAACCTATTTCTTTTCCAGGAGCCGCAAACCCTTACGCTGCACTCGTACCGCACCAAGGATACCTCCACCAGAATCACGGGTCTGTGCTCGCAACGGGCTCTGCATTTTCGTCTCTCCCTCAAGCACCACGTATCAATCAGAAGCACGTCGTGGAACACCTCCATTACCACGACGTCAAGCAAGCCAAAATAGCTCCCGGCGGAATGAAGAACGACCCGTTATTTGTGAGTTTTCTTTTTATCTTGCGAGGTCGGATTCTCAAGCATTGGGACAGACACCAGTGTTAGATCGACTTGGTCAACCAAACGGGACATTCGTGTGTTCTAGGGACGGCATGGTGCTCAATCCTGGAAGCTATCTGAAGCACCTCAAGACAAAAAAGCACCTAGGCTTCAAACTTGAGAAATTCAAGTGCTCTGGTTGTCCCAAAACGTGCGTATCCCAACTCTCAAATGAGCTTCTCGTATAATTAATATCGTTGTGATCAGGTATACGAGACGCGATGCGTACAAGAGGCACTTGATCAATAGCAAGTGTGGACAATCGACAGCTGTGGACGCTCTGCTGCCATACTCAGCTAGTCAGAACTCCACGAGTTCTGCTTCTGCTGCACCTGCAATGGCACCTACCACTGCGCTCACTCATTCTCACCTGTATAGCTCCATGTTCGCCGAAGACGACAATAACGACGACACTGATTTTTAGGAGGCTAATGAGATAAAGGACGGCCATGAGATGTAGCCATATTTCAATTCTGCTACTGACTATTTTCTTTCTTGTATTATCTGCTGTTGTTCATTCACTTGTCTTTCTACCTACTACACGCATTCTCTATTCTCTATGGCATAACACACTATTTATTTGTTCACACTATCATGACCGCTATTATTGTTATCATCATCATCGCGGTGATTTGGTGATTTGTTGGTTATAATACTCTCATGTACGCGCGAGCTGGAATATCTAAGGAACGAGCGAGCAAGTGGGTTGAAACAATTTGCGACATCATCACCCGTCCCTCCCGAAGACAAACTCGAGAGGCATCAGGGCCAATCTCAGAGGGATCAACATATTTTCTCTGTAAAATTTTGAGAAAGCGACTCAACCTAAATACACAGATGTCACAATGCGAGATGAACTATTGCAACAAGGTGCGAACTCACAATTGACTCAACACGATGAAGTCCCTTCAGCGGAGGCCAGCTATGTAGCAGCGCGCCACGGAGGTTGAAATGCTCTGGAGTCTGGATAGTAAATGCTCATGACAAATATAAACGCAGGGACAATATCTCGGAGCGCCGTAGACACTGGAGTCTGGACAGAATCAACCATTGACACTGTTTCCATATCTCAAGCGCTTCAGGGGACAATAGCGACTATGAATTCAACATAAGTGTAGGGAGGACAACACATACAACGAGCAGCAATTACAGTAACGTCGAACGAGATGCCCGATAACTAGAAGCAAAAACAAAACCGGCCGCTTCCATGATGTCCGGAGTCAAAAATCCCTGGGCGCGAGCCGGGATTAGGGGAAGGGGGAGAGACATAATCTTCGTCGCGTATCAACTCATCATCAGGGCCGGGAGCGCCCGCCGCAGCATGCCGCTATACATACGTGGATGAGAATTCGAATATGACAAGAAAAACGCGCACATACCAGTCTACCCGGCGCGTAAGGAACATAGACGATAGTTGGCGATGCACGCCACCAGCTTGATAGTCGATTGGATCTGAGGGTTGGGGAATTATTGATGACGGAGGATTGGGTGGTGGGTGGTGCTGGTGTGCGTCGAGACTGGAAGAATGTAAGTTTGACATGTGATGATAGAGGTCCGCACTCACATTCTCGTCGTGTGTTGGAAGTGGACGAGGCAGGGGTGATGTAGCAGGAAACTGTGAGTTAGTAACTGTAGAGTCAACTGGGAGGCAAACAGGTAAAAGAAACATACGTCCAGGAGATTAGGCTCATCGATGCGAACCGCGTCTGTACGAGAAAAGAGCTTGCGTAGAAAGCGGAGGCGAGCATGTAAGTCCCTGGAAATGGAAAACATGACAGGTATTATCACTGGTTTACGACGCGCGGGACGAGGTGTTGCATCGAACTGTAACGAGTAACAGTGCAGTGCAGATGAAGGAAAGGACAGGACCACATACATTGAGCAGACCAGGGTGGCGCGAATCAGATTTATTGATCTATAGAATATTAGCATATAAATTATGTCTGTGTGGGGGATACATACACTAGGTCGTGCTTCAAGCCCAATGCTAGCAAGGATGTTCGCTGGAATGTCACATACATAGATTTTGGTGTCTTCGAAGGTCGTGTAAGCTAGTTGGCGTGCATCGGGTGAGAGGACGAGGGTCCTGGGAGATATTGAGACGTCAAATGAAGCGAGGAGTTGACGGGACTCGAAGGCCCACAGCTTTACGGTGCCATCATAGGAAGCACTAGCGAGAAGAACACAATCAGGTGAGAGTGCTAGACCATTGATGGCAGATCTAGAAGTGTGTTCGAAAGGAGCTCCGACAGTTTTGAGCGTCGACGCGTCAAACTCATAGATCGTCGTGATATCATCACCCGTGAATCTGAATACGGCTACGATGGATTTGTCTTCTGTTGTCCAGAAGACCGGCAATTTGAACCCGGAATGCTTGTTAGGAGTAGATTTTTGTACAAGCAATTTCTGTGCCTGAACATCCCACACGTGAAGGTACCCTCCCCAATGTGATGACACCGCCAGCTTCCGAGAGTCTTCCGAGAGTCGAACTGACGTTATTGGGCCAAGATGATCCTCGCCTGTTTTGAATGGACCAGCCACAAGTTTGCCTGTGTCTAAGCTCCATATCCGTGCCCCATCATATGACCCACTCGCTACCAACGCGCGGCTGTCCGCGGAGATATCGATGCAAGTGGTCCAAGTGTGAAATGTTCTCACGATCCCCGTCTCAACCTCACTGACTTTGAGCTCCTCATCAGCAGCAGTGACAACCCATCGACCATCCCTTGATACCCCAACCGCATCTATACCATTCTTGCAAACCTCCCGAGCCTCCTCGATCTCCTTACCCTCCCGCAGGTCCCATCGCCGAATCGTCTTATCGCGTGATCCGCTAGTCATTTGCTTGCCGTCAGGAGAATAGGAAATGCACGAAATATAGCTGAACTCGTGAGAATCCTGCAAGGAGTGTTTCCATGTTTCATGTCCCTCCAAGATCATGACTGGCGTCAGAATTGATTTGTTTTCTGCTGCACCGGGTTGCGTCGAGCTGGAAGCCATCACAGCTGTATTGGCCAGACAGGCTGGCAAGATGTCGGTCAATGGATGTGTTCGCTGGGTTCTCCTCGTGCTCTACAAAGCTATGCTTGACTCGGACGTTGAGTAATTTTCAACTCTCACTCGCTCGAGAACTAGCGCACTTTACTTGCTCAAATCAATCGTCAGTTCATCCATGCGTGATGCTCATATGGGTTTTGTCTTACCAGGGTGTTAGCAAGTACGAGAAGTGATTATGGTCATTAGGCACGTGTCCCACATCTTTATATTTATATCTTTCAGACAACTGCATTGTACAGCATGTCATTTTTAACTCCATACTATTTCTAACTTCAGTCGAATGAAACCTACATTTTCCTCTCTTGCTTCTGCATAATCTGCATCTTATCCGATTAGCGTTCCGCGCATCATGTTGTCATGTGCTAACGCCGTCCTTACCGTGTATTATACAGTGGAGCTCGCCGATGGGCGGTCTGCATCAGTGAATGCGCACTGTCTTTGCACGTCGATGATCAACTATCGATAGACTTGCTCGGTGAGATCTAGTTGGTTTTTTAAAGCGGATGCTCCTGTTCATACTTCGCTGCTAGTCGAGGGCGAACCCATAGATTTTGATTGCCTTTGCGACGTAGCTGCTTGCACTTGTCAATGTCGCTAAGTAATGGCACAATTCGGCATAGTGCGCTCGCGCGCCCTATCGGGGGTTAGTTTGATACCTGTTTTTGTACCGCTTGTCTCCTGATCTGCCCCCACAATATTTTGATGATCTATACTCACTTAGACTTGGCCCCAGGTTCTTCATTTCTTACTATCCAGACTCAAAAGTTCAACCTCCATGGAGCTCCCTTCTTGAGCAGCAGTTTTGTGCGAATCGCTCAAAAATATCTGATATATCTTGATGCTTGTCAACTTCGAGTTTTGTGTGGTGAATCGACTGGGAGATGATGTCATAAATTGCTTCACCTCGCCCGCTCGTTATATCTTTCAGCGTGTACATGCAAGGAGTGTAACGCACGATCGCGAATAATAATTTAATTCGAAAAGTTTTATTTGAATAAGGCTGTTATTGCAATTGGCTCGTTGAAGTTGGAAAAGATAAAAGATGATGTAATTCTCACGTGATCCCAGTTGTTCGTTGGCATCATGAGCTGGAGCGTCTCAGGCAGTACTAAGAATGTAGTAGGGAGAAACGGTTGACGAAAAGGGAAACAGCCGTTCAGTACGTATGGTAGGGATGTGGAGAGGAGAGGTGCCAAGGAGACTCGAATTGAACCAGATTGTCGTGAGTACCAGGACAAGGTCTTGAATGGCCCAGTCACTGGTGCTGATCGAATGTGCCGAAACCATTGAGTGAGACCACCCTTCCACAGGTGGCTCGGGCCCACACTAACTACCATTGTAACAAGAAAATACAATAGAATTTCAGGTGTGTTTGTTGTGGGCCTTTTTTTTTTTGAAGTGTTGAATTTAAATAGGGACGCGGCAGTTGACGAAACGATAGAATTTTGGTAGAATTATTTCCTCCCCCAAATCTCTGTATCAAACATCTAAATCTTCTTCGCACCAGCATGCAGAAATCCAATTCAAACGTCGATTCACTGGTCTCAGCTACCATTGGTGAACCGCAGAAACCTGTAAGTAACTGGTTCTGGAGGTATTTTCGTCTGGATATTATAATAAACATCTACTTCAACAGTTGAATGAGATGATCATGCGCAAGAATTCGGGCCTTGAAAAAGTTAGGAAGGGCGTTTCCTATCGTCAACGGCCACTCGTCGAAGAGAGGGCCAACATTGTTCAGTCCAACACTTCGCGCAAGGCATTTTCGTGGCGTCCGCCAACAGAAATACTCTCAGAAGTTTTCCTTTACTGTCTGCCTAAAGACGAGTATTTGTGCCCCACACCACAAGTGGCTCCCCTACTGTTGACCACAATATGTCGACGATGGAGGGAGGTTGCTGTGGGCTTGCCAAGTTTATGGTGCAGGCTGCAGATGAAAGCCGAGCACGACAATTGGAAGAAGAGAGCTTTATGCTACAACCTCTGGCTCAAGCGGTCGGGAGGATGTCCTCTCTCGTTGAGACTCGAATGCCACACTAACTGGAGCGAGCTACAAAGCCTGCTCCAGCCATACGTTCAGCAAATCTCGTCTCTCAAACTTGATTTTTTTGCCTGCGATGGCCCCTTCATGATGGAAGGCTTTCACGCACTCAAGGAGCTCACCATACATAAATATGGGTTTGATCCTACATCAGCTATCGACCACTCTCTCTCGAAATTGCCGGTGAATTTGCGTAGGTTGGACATGACATCACTGTTGTATAGCCGCAAGGACCTAGCTTTTTTTAGTGACTCCGCATGGGCCCATCTCACGCATGTTGAGATCAACGTGAATGGACTAGATGCATTCCCCCGCATACTCCATCTATGCCCCAACCTCTCTTCCGTGGTTATGATTGGAATACTCGACCCAATTCAAACTCCAGAACTGGTCACGCACGTCAACCTCCAATCCTTACGCATGTCTGGGGACATATTCCTGAGCTCAGCTGGGGCCCTTGGCCTATTTGAGGTTCTCACACTCCCCAACCTTCGCGTGGTCGAAGCCCGCAATATAGGGCCGTGGCCACATGAAGAGTTCAAGGAATTCTTGATACGGTCAGAATGTCCCCTGGAGAGCCTTATTTTCGGCAATGCAGTGCATTCAACGGACCGGCAGCGAGGAGAATATGTCGCCCTCATTCCTACCCTCAAATTGAGTGTAGAACCTGATAGCAACTTTGATATGCACGAATTTTTAGAAGATCTCGGCAGTGAAGTGGATTCAACGGACCAGCAGCAAGAGGACTATGTCACCCTCGTTCCTTCCCTCGATTTTATCATAGAACCTGACAGCGACTTCGATATACACCAATTTCTACTATAGACTGCTTTACCCAGCCTTTCCTTATACCCTTACAAGTGATTGGCGCTATATGGATACAAAGAGAACTTTATATCTTCTTTTCAATGTCGAAATGACTTTGCCTTGTGTTGATGTCCCACAGCCCCACTCCACCATCCAACCGTCCGCTAACCACTTTGATCCGACATCTGTTTCCCACTCTTTAAGTTCAAAATACCCGCAGCGAACAGTTATCTGAACAAGTTGTCCGCCTGGTTCCGATGGGGCGTTATCACTGATGTCCCGCCTCCCTGCGATGGGTGAAGACATAACGGACTACTGGTCATGGCTCCGTCCCAGCTTTCATCCAATAAAATAAAGTCAAAAATAAATGTTCAAGCCTTACGACAACTCGTTTCTCTGCAGGCCTAAATATGTTCTCTGACCTTCGCGTGCTCGATAATTGTCCATCATTCAATTTATATGCTCACGCTTAGGATGGACAACTACGCATACACCCCAGCAGGACTAGTAAACGCCCTGTTCTCCCTTCTCGCCATCGGTACCTCAAACTTGTCCAGGTCTTCCATTCACAGCGGATGGTGTTAAACAGGCGCAGACCGACCTGACAAGCAGAAAAATACAAGAAAATTTGTATTCAAAGTCAGCGATTGACCGAACGTTGCATGACAAGACCGAAGTCAACATAATGTAACCTTGCGTATATTTGTTCGGATAAAAATGCGAGAGTATGCATGTCATGATAGACGCGGTTCCGGAAGTGGGCCCTGGGGATCCCTGTCAAGCATTATTCTGGACACGGAGCCAATTGAATGGTTCGTTCGGCGCCCTCTGCTACTCGCTATCCTCACCTCCTTGTTTGCAATAGGTTATTTGATGACATGGACTCAGATGAGGCATGCGATTACGTTCCTCTATCTTTTCGCTAATTTTATCTATTGTCAATGACGAACAAAATGATCCAGACCGGTGGATGGAATGAAAATAATGGAACTTAGCTCGATTCACAGATTTTGTATTTCGTGCGGTGGATAGATATCTGACTGGGGTCCTTGGTCGAAGCGAAAACGGGCTTATGACGTGATGGTAACACCCCATCGGCCAGGTGACTTGGATGTGTATTTTAGTTGTAAAATGCTCGCTGCATATAAAAAGGCTACTCTGCAAGGCACTTACGATGTTGTGCAGCCGACGAATGATATTCGAGGCCGGTAATTGAATTTGACTGGTAGTTTGGTGAGTCATTTTAGCTTCATGTTTGATTTGTTCAGGGACATTCTTGAAGGAAAGGTGACATTCTATTACCACGTGGCGTGACCGACCTCGTGTGATTTTGCGAGTCCTGCGACCACTCGAGGGCAACGACAAGAGGATTTTTGACTGTGAATTGGTATCAGTCTGCTGTGGTGAAATCATGCACTATTGATACCGACTGATACCATCAATATCGGGGTCGGTCACGGTAGCGTTCGTAACATCGAGCAGACTGGTGAATGGCTCGTAATCGATTTCCTGAATATGCATCTTTACTTTGTCATGTTACCCAAGGTCCCAGAAGACCTCTGGGAGGAGTGTGCGAATGGCGACAGCGAGATTAGTGGAACGCATTGTTGTAACCGAATTTAAATTTACTTTGTCTGATGTTCTTTGACGCAAAATCAGTGAAGACATTGCGCCAATCTACATAATAGCGAGCTTGCTGGAGGAAGGAGGTAGGGTCTCGTAATAGATCTAGTTATAGGTGTACATCATAGTCGTTGGAGCGGGGCGCTCTGGTCGGGAGTGGCAGGGGTCCTGGCGCATAAGCAGGAGTGGGCCTGGCTTGTAGTCGGTAGTCCTCGCGTGTGTCGTAGTCTGTCCTTTATAGATAGAGCCGTGGCCTTCCGCCACAGAGGTTTAGCCTTGGGTTTCCCTTGCAGTCCGTGCCCGGTCCATCGTATATCTGCAAGACGATATGAGCTCATTCTGGATGAACCTTTACATTCCACTGCAAAATGTTGTCAGAAAATCTTTCACATATGCGATGAAGTGATATACTATTTAAAGTTATTACTGACGCCCAAGTAAGGTTTCAATGCAGTCGGGACTCGGGAAGGGCGTGGCAGTGGACATGCTTGTGAATGCAGATGAAGCGTAAACTCGGGCTGAAATTTGAAGGTTACAACCTTGCTCTGAGATGACGAAGAGCTAATTTAACCTCGTTTGAAAGCTCGCTATGCGTCAAGTTGCATTCTTTTAGGCCAAGTAGTATGAGAACTTACGTTCAGACGTGAAGTAAACAACTGGACAACCAAGCGCCCATCGGGATTCGGATGCTAGCCTAATACTTGGATCAACAAATCCAAAACACTCTCCTACACCGGACAACCGTCTAAGATTCACTCAGATGCGTGCACTCTGCACCTCTGTCATCATATCTGAAACTATTTCCAAATACATGCTTGTTATACTCTTCATGACTGTGTATACAGACACTAAAAAGTGATCAGTTATAGGCTCTCAGTA